AGGCAAAGATGTCCGGAAGGGGCCCCTGGGAGGAGGTGCCAGAGCTCACTTGGCCTGCAGTGGAGGTGGGAGGCACTGGAACCTCTTAGATCCTGAAAGAAAATGGTGTTCCATAGATTTCTCAAAAGACAGTGCCAGAAGCTGAAACTTGCTTGAATGAAATAGTGAATTCTAAGTGCTTGTGTTCCCATGTCATCTGCAAGGAGGTGATACTGAGGGGTGGACCTCATTACTTTGGCTAGGCCCTCTGGTCAAGTGTGTGGAATGATTTGAAAACCATTGCTGGTAATAAGGAGTCCAAGGCTGGACCCAGGATTGGCCAGGCTGATGGGGTTACGTCCAGAGTTCCAAATAGGGTAGGCAAGGACTCTTGTGAGTGCTTGCTTCATCGGGGTAGTCTTTGGGCACTGGGGTTAAAGTGAAATGGCCCTGAAGCCATAACAGGTTGGGGCCCTACTTTCATATTCTCAAGACTACAGTACCATGAACAGGGCCACTTCTCAGAATGGTGGGGGCACTGGGAATAGCACTGTGTGTCCCCAGGTCAGGTGAATGACCAGCACAGTGGATGGCAGGCTTGGCTGGGCATTGTGGTACCTAGGTGGGGACAGATGGGAACTGCTTAATGGGGGTTTGGGTTTGGTCCTGATGACTGTGGACCAGAGCATCTGTCATCCAATTTGTGTCTTGGACACTCCTGCTCTAAGGCTGGCTCTTTGTTTGTCTGTGGGACCCTAGAAAGGCATTAAATGTCCTTTGTAATGATGGAGGACACTTGGCTCACAGTTATAGCAGGCCCTTACTTTATAAAGGGAAGGGGACTCATTTCATGCCTGTCAACCACTGTTCTTCTGTGATCAGAAGACCCTGGAGTAACACTTTCAGCGCAGAAGCTGCCTGGCAAGCTCCGAGTGCGGACAGGGAGGCCCAAGAGTATTGACAGCTGTGGGTGCATCCCAGCTGCTGCCTAGACAGCACAGAACTCCATCCTTGGGCCAGATGAGCTATGCCTAGCCCTGGCTTTCTCATTCCTTCCCCTTCGTAGTAAAAGATCCCCAGCCTGTTGCCAGGGTCACCATTGCACAGGCCTGCGGGCTGCCTCATCTGGGAAAACTGCACTTCACATCTCAGGTCTCTGTGGACTTACTAACCTTGCTGGCAGTGTATGAGGACACCTAACAGAGAAATATTAGCACTCCATAGGAACAGGAAGGGCCCAGAATCCCCACTTCTTAGTTATTTGCCAATGTTCCCCACTCATTCTCAGTTACTGTGGCTGATGTCGTCAAGTGTCCACAAGGCCATCCAGGTGTGTGGACACCTCTCCATACGCTCTAGACTGCATAGCAGAGCACTTGTTGGAGGGGCATTCTGCCCTGAAAGGACCAGCTGCTATCTCTTCCAGTGCCTCTGTGCTCCCTCTTCTCTCGGTAGTCCCCACTGACCTCTGTGACTGACAGTATCAGTTTCCTGTAACATGACATTGTGTACAGAGGTGGCCTTGCCTGCTACACAGGGATGCAAGAGGCAAAGTCCCACAGCTAGTCCAGCTTTCTGATAGGAAGTCACCTGCCATTGAACTTTCCTTTTGTGATTGACAGTGCCTTACCCCTTAACCTCCTTCAGCTCCGCCCAGTCCCCATCAGGGTGATGCTACTGTCTCATAGGCCCTATATGACATTCCCGTCCCTGAATCCCTCTGTTGCTGCATTCCTCCCCCTCTGCCCCCACACTCCTTGTCCCTACTGTAGCTCTCTGTAGCTACTTGCCTTACCACAAGACCGCCCCAGCCCCTCCCTGTGGGGCCTGAGTCCCTCCTGACAACTCATGTGACTTACCCTAGTTCTTTACCCAGTCCACCCTTGGGTTATGCTCGTGGGTATCTGAGCCATGCTGTTTTTAGAGCTTTGTTCCTACCAAGGGACAGTGCCAGTATCACAGTAACTATGGTGTGGCTTGTGTGCCGACACAGCCATGGAATGTATGTGGGTTGCGTGGCTTTGTGGTGCCCCTGGTACAGCATGGCCTCTGGGGTCTGGCCAGCACAGCATGTGACACCTTAGGACAGTGCCCTCTTCTTCCTTGGGTTCCCCAAGCCTCCCTCTGAATCCTCTGAATGTGTTTTGTCTATTTGTTTGTGTTTTTATTTCTTTGGTTTTTTGAGACAGGGCTTCTCAGTGGCTTTGGAGGCTGTCTTGGAACACACTCTGTAGACCAGTCTGGCCTCGAACTCACAGAACACCTGTCTCTTCCTCCCAAGTGCTAGGATTAAAGGCATGTGCCACCACTGCCTGGCTCACGGACACTCTTTTAAGTGAGTTGTCCAGTGGGTCACTGATGCGTTTTATTTTATGATGTAATATATGAGTGTTACCTGCCTCTCAGTCCTCTGAATATCTTACTTATCTCAGTCCTCTGAATATTGGAAGCTTATCTAACTCCACTATTGTGCTTAGCAGTTGTGACATCTGTCATCTGTTTCTTTTCTTTTGGTTTGGCTTTTTGAGACAGGGTTTCTCTGTAGTTTTGGAGCCTATCCTGGGACTCTGCAGATCAGGCTGACTTCAAACTCACAGAGATCCACTTGTCTCTGCTGGGATTAAAAGTGTGTGCCACCACTTCCTGGCATGTCACCTTTTTCTGATGGATGATCACCATTGTGATGTAGAGGCTCGGAGAGATGCTTGAAGCCTGAGACTCAAGGTACAGGCTGTTTTATCAAAGGGCCACTGCCTTGCCACTGTTCTATCCCGGCTGCTGGGCACCTGTTGAGAACCTGGGAGGTGACCCATACCTCCTAGTGTTGCAGAAGGTAGACAGGTGGGTGTTGCAGGTGGATCCAGGGAATTGAGTGCAAGGTCATAAGTGGTGCAAGATTTGGAGGGCACTCCATAAGGGCCAAGTCAACACCTGCAGAAATGCAGGTGGCTAAGCTATGAAAGAAGGGAAGGGCATTGTGGGAGAACTGGCTGCTGATTGCAAAGCTACTTGCTGTGTAGGTGTACAAATATCCACCACTAGGGCTCCCCTGAACAGCACTCACCTGTGCAGGTGTGGTGAGTCCCTCTGTGTGTGTGTGTGTGTGTGTGTGTGTGTGTGTGTGTGTGTGTGTGTGTGTGTGGTGGGGCAGGGAGCCAGGGAGGGGAGAATCAGAAGCTGAATTTTGGAGACACAATGATGAAAAACTGGGAATCCCAGGAGGCAGCTGCCTGAGGAGAGCTGAGGGTGGCCCCAGACCCAGGCTGGCACAGCAGCCTCTGCACAGCACTAGGCTGGATTCTGCTCAGCTCAGCCCCTCCCCAGTGTGTGTACCTCTGGGGATTCTAGAGGCATGACTACAATCCTTTCACAGCTCAGATTGTACCTCCCCAGGTTCTGATGACCCAATTTCCACGGCAACAGCTTGAAGACTAACACAGAAGGATCACAGGCAATACACGGCATGGTTCACTAATGTAGCCACTGCAGAGATGCAGGATCTTGTTAGCCAGATGACAGGGTTCAGAGCCACCTGAGGGAGCTAGCAGGCAATGTTCATCCATGCAAAAATACACTGTGATTCATAGAGAAGCATTCTGGAGTCCAGCCTGTGTTCAAAGAGGACGTTACTGTCTGTGATCTTCTCTACTTTACTGACCACACCACCTCAGCCCACAGCTTCTGTCAAAAACCTATTATTTCCCATGGCTGTGTGCCCAGCCCAGAACTTCCTTTTGATCCAAGCCAAATAATTGCAGCATGCTTCAAGCAAGTTTGGGTCAGTCTGCCTCTCTCTGGGCTACTGGTTTAGAGAGATTGTTTGGCACCAGGCTTGCTGAAGCAGAGCTGTGATGCCAGCACTCAGGAAGCTGAGACAGGAGGGTTGAGAGTCCATGGCTGACCTGGAATACATAGTGAGACCTTACTTATGTCAAAACAACAGAATCAAACCTAAAGGTTGTCTGGAGTTGTCATCCTCTTGGCCGCCCTTCCTAACACTGAGAAGCTTTAATACAGTTCCACATGTTGTGGTGACCCCCCCAACCATAAAATTATTTTGTTGTTACCTTATAACTGTAATTTTGCTACGGTTATAAATTGTAATGTAAATATCTTCTATATAAGTTATCTGATATGTGACCCCAAAGCGGTTGAGACCCACAGGTGAGAACCATTGCTCTGTCTGGGCCCATCCATGTCATCCTGTCTTCCTGTATCCAATCAGATCCCAGCCTGTGTGGAACCCTTCCCCACAGGCTGGAAGCCCACTCTCTCATACTTGGTGGCCCTGTATTATATATCACCCATCCCACTTGGGTTTCTAAGCCAGTTTCTACCCATCAGAACAGAGTATATGTCCAGAGTACATGTCACACACAGTAGTGCAGTGGCTGACTCCGAGAGATCAGCACTTAAATGACTGAGGAGGCCCCTCAGCACCTGTGGCTTAAATGGCTGAGCAGACCCTGTGAAGTCACACCTGTACCTATCCTCTGATGACATCAAGCTTCCTCTTGCTGCTTAGCTGGGAGTGACATGACATCTAACCTGCCTTCCTTTTTGTGGGGAGAGGGGTGTTCGGGACAGGGTGTGTAACCACCCTAGCTGTCCTGAAACTCTCTGTGGATCAGGCTGGCCTCGAACTCAGAGATCTGCCTTCCTCTGCTTCTGCTTCCCAAGTGCTGGGACTAAAGGTGTGCACCACTAGCTCCTTTTTTTTCTTTTAACATTTACATTTTATTTATGGGAGGGGACTGGTACCATGGTGTACTTGTGGTTGTCAGAGGACAACTTGTAGAAGTTGGTTTTCTCCTTCCATCCATGCAGATCCCAGGGATCCAACTCAGGTCTTCAAGCTTGGAGGCAGGCTCTTTGGCCTGCCGAGCCATCTCACCAGCTTTAGCCTTCCTTTCTGTTTGGGGGGTCTTATGCGAGTAGGAATGAGTGTCTGCTGCCTTTGGAGCCGGGGGTCACTGTGTCACTCTGATGAGTCCTAGGATCTAAGTGTGGTTTCTCTGCAGATGTCTGCTCCGTGCCAGTGTCCGAGATCATTGCTGTTGAGGAAACAGATGTTAATGAGAAACAGTCCTCTAGTGGTCGATGGCAGAAAATGGAAAACCCGTTCGCATTCACAGGTGAGGGAGCTCAGTCCTTCCAGGCCCACCTTTAGCTCCATGTACACTACAAAGAAGGGTACTTATCAGGTCAATGATTGGCTTATCTTCATAGACTCTTCTTTTGAAGATGTATTTATTTATCATGTATATAGTGTTCTGTCTGCATGTATCCCTGCAGGCCAGAAGAGAGCGCCATATCTCATCACAGGTGGTTGCTGACAGCTGTATGGTTACTGAGAATTGAACTCAGTATCTCTGGCAGAGCAGCCACTGCTCTTAACCTCTGAGCCATCTCTGCAGCCCATAGACTCTTCCTAATAGTAATTACTCAACATCTACTGGAATGTAAAGTGATTTCCATGTGTTGCTAAAACTTTCCCTCCTCCAAAGGTCCTAAGGACAAATATAGGCAACTTAGCACCCTGGGGAACCAATGACTTTATTGAGCTTTCTTTCAGAATGTAGGTGAGGGGTTACTTACAGGGGTGTGGGTGCCTTTCCCCCAGTAGGTTGTACTTAGAAAACCTCACCCAGAAAAGGTGTGAACTTCCCTATAGCTATGTAGACTGAGCCCCAGCTTTAGTCTCCCAGCCTCTATATATTCTAGTCCTGCCCCTGGCCTCATGCCACGCTGCCCAGGTGGTAGAGTGCAGCTGGATCCTGAGGTGAGAATCTCTTGCTCTAGTGTGAGCCTCCACGAGGTAAACTCTCGACCAGCCCAGCTGGGATGACCTTTTACAGCTGAACTCCCAGCACTCTTGCAGTGAGATGACAGATGTAGACAAGAGACAGCTTATGGCGCTCCTTAAGTACAGCTCCATAGTACAGCCTATGAGGTCTCACTTCCATAGCTGCAAACCCTGCTAACCCGTGTTGGTTTCTGTGCAGTCCATTGTGTGAAGAGAGCAAGCCATCACCGCTGGAAGTGGGCACAGGCGACCTTCTGGAGTGCCGACGAGCAGCTGTGTCACCTGTGGCTGCAAACCCTCCGTGAGCTGCTGGAGAGCCTGAGTACGTGCACGAGCTTTCGGATTTGTTGCCAAGCAGCACAGCTGTGCTGGCACGCAGGACTCAGTGACCTGATCCAGGTGGACGTGATGGATCCCTTTGATTTGTTTTTATATTTACTACTTAGAGGGCCACAGTGGAGCAGTAGAAGTGTGTAGACCCCTCAGCTGGAGTCCTGGCCCAGCCCCTGCTTGTGATCAGTGAGCCTGGAGGCAAATCCTTTAGGCCCCAAAGCCTCAGTTCCTCTATAACTGGAGTGGATGTAAATGCATTCCAGGTGCAAGGGAGACTTGGACAGGATATGGAGGCACCGCCTCTTTCCTTCTGGGTGTGTAGCTTCTGAAATGCAGCAGAGTGTGCAGTGCCTGGTTAGTGTGTGCTGAGGGACTATTTCTCTATTACCTTGAACATGGCATCCTGTTCTCTGTGCACCTGTAACATTATAACCTCATGCACAAAGGTGACAACTTTTCAATAGATGCTGACTGCAGATAAAACATAGTTAGCCTTTTATCTTTTTTAGGTTAATTTGGCATATGCAGTTTAAAGAAGCAAATTTTAGGGCTAGTGAGATGGCTCAGTGGGTAAAGGCACTTACCTCCAACACACAGGACCTGAGCTCAACCCCAGGACCTATGTGGTGGAAGGGAGAGAACCAAACCCTTTTTGAGTGTATGAACTCATGAGCACATGCACAAACACACACCAAATAAAGGAATAAAAAGTGAAACAAAAACAAATCAAAAGTGAATTATAAAAGACCAGCATGGTGACGCATGTCTTCGATCCCAGCATTTGGGAGGGAGGCAGGGGGATTTCAAGTTCCAGACTGGTCTGGACTGTACAGTGAGACTGTCTCAAAGCACTGAGAGAGAGGGAGAGAGAGAGAGAGAGAGAGAGAGAGAGAGAGAGAGAGAGAGAGAGAGAGAATGAGTGGCCACTCACCACCAAGCCTGACAACTTCACTTCCATCTCCAGAACCTATAAACCAGAGACAGCTAATTCCTTTACATTGTCTCATACCATCTCCACACATACATAATATAATAAAAGAGGGAGGGTAGAGGAGAGAGAAAGACAGAGACAATTATAAGGTATTTAAAACTCTTCAACTCCCAGGACTATTCCTTAAAGTGCATCTCTCGATTACTGGAGGGTGGTTAGAACTGGTTTTCTGAACTCTCTTTTTCCCTGGTACTGAAGTTCCCCACCTGCTGTCCTTTTAAAGATTACTCCAAGTTTCTAGACCTTCTGTTGCCAGCTCTGTCCCTTGGCTACTACTATCCATGCTGCCTCAGTTTCTCCTGCTTTCTCTTTCTCCTCCCACCCACCCCACTCCCTGCTTGCCCCGCCTCCCACCAAGTCACATTTCCCATGAGGCTGAGTCATTAGTCATGCTTGGTCCTCCAGGCTCAGACTCCCATGGAATACTGAAGTTTTTTTTTTTCACTATAGCTCACAGAAAACTTCCATGGCCATGAAACAGCACATGAGTCTCTATTCTCAGCCACTCTAGTTTTACCTGTGTGTGTGTGTGTGAGTGTGTGTGTGTCTGTCTGTCTGTCTGACTGACTGTCTATCCCTGTATCTATATGTGTGTTATGGAGGCCAGAGGACAACCCCAAGTGTCATTCCTCAGACATCTTCCAACTTTTTATTTTGAGGCAGTGTCTCTCATTAGCCTGACATTCACCAAATAGGTAGGCTAGGCTGGCCAGTCCCCAGAGGTCCACTTGTCTCCATCTCCTCAGCATTGGGGTTCTGTGTGTGCATGTACCACACCCTAACTTTTGGAAAACTAAACATGGGTTCTGGTGATTGAACTGATCCTGGTACTTGCTTTGAAAGCTCTTTACCGAATGCACCATCTCTCCATATGTTTAATGTATTTTTAAGATTCTTTTTACACTTACTTTACTTTGTGTGTGTGTGAATGTTTTGCCTGCTGTATTCGTGTACACCATGTGCATGCCTGGTGCTCATGGAGGTTAGAAGAAAGTGTCACATCCCCGTGGATTTGGAATTATGGGTGGTTGTGAGCCACCGTGTTAGTGCTAGGGATTGAAGCCAGGTACTCTGCATGAGTGGCAAGTGCTCTAGCCTAATGGGTTATTTCTCCAACCCTAGCCCCTGAATGTATCTCTTAAAAACTTTTAAACTTTTATTTTATGTACATGAGTGCTATGACTCCATTTATGTGTGCACATTTGGCACAGTGCCTGTGGTGGCCGGAAGGGGGTATAGATAGATCCCCTGAAACTGAGTTACATGGGTGCAAGACTGAACCTGAGTTCTCTGCAAAAACAGCAGAAGCTCTTCACTGCTAGCCACCTCCCTGGCCCTGGTTTAATGTTTTATTGGAATAAACCAGAGAAGTGGTTGTGTTCTGAGTGTGTGGGTTTTCACATTAAGCATCTGTAACAGTACGTAGGACTGGTAGGGCAGTCAGTCCCCAGGTCACTGTGACCCTGTTGTTGTTATTATTATTGTTTTTCTGCTTCATAAATTCAAATGGAACAGCATCCGCTCTTTTGTACCTGACTTTGAAATGAACACTGTGAATGCAAAACTTGTCCCTTTATCCTGTGTGGTTGTGGTTGTTCATCCTTAACAGCTGCCCATCATGCATGGCCCAATGATATAGTCACTTCCAGCTGAGGCTCATATTCATGACTTCCTCAGCATAGATAATAGTGTAGAGACTATCCCTGCATGTGTCCCTATGAGCCTATGGCATTTCTCTAGAGTGTGCTGGGACTTCAGATCAGGGTTCTTCCTCACTCTGCAGACCTCGAGGCCTAGCTGGCCTCAAGCTCACAGAGACCCACCTGCCTCTACCTCCCTAGTGCTGGATTTAGAGGCATGTACCACCAACACCCGGGCTGGCCCAGAATCTTTTATGCAGCATAAACAAACACAACACACCTTTAAAAAATAATAGTCTGCAACATAAACAAATGTGACACATCTTCCCATAGCTAAAACAATATTCCACAACACCCAGGCCAGACCTGAGGGAAGGGCTGAAGCCAGACATAGGATGGTCCATCCATCTGACTCATCTGTTTCTCTGTGTGTCTGTCTTCCTCTCCACCTGCTCCTCTATGTATTCCCAGCTTGTTCTGGTTCTCAAAAGCCTTGTCCTTCCCATGGGCAGATGGAGGTAGAGCCGTCCTTGTTCATGCCTCATGAGGCTTGGCTAGGACAGGGGCCTTCCTGCTGCTCCACACATGTGCAAAGCCCCACCCGCATCTCAACAGCTGTAGTCACTTTTCCCCTTTGATGACCGAGAATTCTATAACACCCCCCTCCTCTTTTTAATTTTAATTTAATTTTATTTTATTTAAGGAGGGAATTGGAGCCCCTGGAAAGTGAGTTATAGACAGTTGTGAGCTGCCATGAGGGAGCTGGGAATTGAACCTGAGCTGCCATCTCTCCAGCCCCAGTTGACCAAGAATTCTTTGTCAAAACTTGCTCTTCATGAGCAGCGCACTAATTGAGCTTGGATTTGTTGCGCCCATTGTGATTGACCAATGTGGGTGTTGTTTTGCAGCTTCAAGACCAAAGCACTTGCTGGTATTTATCAACCCTTTCGGAGGGAAAGGTCAGGGCAAGCGCATCTATGAAAAAAAAGTGGCACCTCTGTTCACCCTGGCTTCCATCACCACCGAAATCATCAGTAAGTGTATCGGGCACCGGGGCAAGTATGCAGAGGCCAGAGTCCCATGCCATCACTGGAGGGGACTTTAACCTAGATGATCATGTCAAATTCAGTTCTCAGTTGGAAGATTGTGAAAGAATGAAGTACTTAATATACTTCCCCTACAAAGTACTCACAGGAACAACAAGGAGATTAAAGAACAGAGTTCAAGGGCAGGAAGTCTTTGCAGGAAAAGATACCAGCAGTGGACATCTCAGAATGTCACAGTGTGGATCATTTTGCAAAACATGACTTAACCCCATGTCATAGTACTCTGTCATCAGTGCAATGCTAGTTTCAGAGAGGGAGATGGACATGGTTTATTGCTCCTGCTGGCCTTCAGGGCCTTGGTATGACCCCGTTAGCAAGATACTTAGTGCAGCTGGCCCTGGCTAAAATCCGAGCACTCAGGAGGCTGAAGCAGGAGGACAGCTGGTCACATAGTAAAACTCTGCTTCCATAAAAAGCTAGTTAGCATACCAGAAGAGGGCACCAGACCTCACTATAGATGGTTGTGAGCTACCCTGTGGTTGTAGGGAATTGAACTCAGGACCTCTGGAAGAGCAACCAGTGCTCTTAACCCCTAAGCCATCTCTTCAGCTTCCCCACCTTATCTTTTTACATTCTGGTATATTCCACAAAGCTTAAAGTAACTTGTATATTAAGGAATACATGTAACAGAGGCTGGACTTATTCTAATTGCTGCCAAAGAAATTATTTGTTGGGGCTGGAGATATGGTTCAGTATTCATGAGCACTTGCTGCTCTTGCAGAGGACCAGAGTTCAGTTTCCAGCCTTCACACAACAGCTCACAGCCACCTGTAACATTTGTCTTGAGGAATCCACTGACCTCTTCTGTGGGCACTGCTTTCACATGGTCCTCATACACACATGCAGGCAGACACTCATGCACATGAGTTAAAAATAAATTAGTTGCTGGGCTGGAGAGATGGCTCAGCTGTTAAAGGCTAGGCTCACAACCAAAAACATAAGAGTTCGGTTCCCAGCACCCATGGCTGTCTCTCCAGCCACCTTTTTTGTCCCACGCCCCGCACGGAGGACAGGGACAGCATAAACAAAAACAATTCTAAACGGGGTTGAAAAGATTAAAAAAAAAAAATGTTAAAAATAAATAAATAAATAAATTAGTTGCTGACAAGTGTAAAGAATGGCAGGTCTTGCCTAGTAAAATGGATCCTAAGATGGTTGTTATCCTCTTACTCTTTTGTAAGAGGTTAAGTCTGAGATGGGATTTCCTCTTATAAAATAGCATCTGTTGGCAGTTAGCATACATGGGTTCCATGATGTGAAGATGAATGGTCCCCTGTAATGTTTCCCCCACAGTTACTGAGCATGCCAATCAAGCCAGGGAGACCTTATATGAGATCAACACAGACAGCTATGATGGGTGAGTTACAATTGCTTTCCTCATGGTCACAGACAGTGAGTGCTAGCCAAGACCTACCCTGTGGGAGCTCTTGGGTTGCCCTGGACTGTGAGCATGTTCTTGGCCTTCCCTCCTTGTCATAGGATATGTGTCCTCCACATGCATGCACACATTTCTCCATGCCACTCTGCAATCATCCCCAGCACTGGACAGTGTACCATAAAACCCTGTCCTGCCCACACAACTTGCTACCCTCAGCTTATTTCACTTGGCCCCCTCTGCTCCTATTTTCTGAGTTCCTGAGACTGTGCCCAGGTCTGGAAATTGACAACAGGAACAGTGTTCCCCTCTCATCTGAGGTTCCCTGCTGGGCACTGCAAGGCCACCCTACTGGATCAAGAGGAGAGAAGGACAACATATGTCATCCCCTACCCATGAGGAGCCTCCCAGCAGGAATACTACTATCCTGGGATAGTCATGCCCAGCAAGCCTGAATCTCAATATTCAATGTTTTTTAAACTTTATTCTCTATTTTTTGCAGTGCTGGACATTAAACCCAGGGTGTTTGTGTTAGGCAAGTGCTCTGCCACTGTTGTCCCAGGTCAAACTATACTTTTATTTTTAAAAAATATTTATTGTGTATACAGTATATCCCTGCAGGCCAAAAGAGGCCATCAGATCTTATTACAGATGGTTGTGAGCCACCATGTGGTTGCTGGGAATTGAACTCAGGACTTCTAGAAGAGCAGCCAGTGCTCTTAACCTCTGACTCATCTCTCCAGCATGTTTTTTTTTTTTTAATTATTTTTTATATGTTGATGGTTTGTCTCCATATATGTAAGTGTGTGTACCATGTGTGTGCCTGTTCCATGGAAGGCAGAACAGGGGATCAGATTCCCTGGAACTGGAGCTATAGACAATTGTGAGCTGCCATGTGGGTGCTGGGAATCAAACCCAAGTCCTCTGGAAGAGCAGTACCTCTGAGCCGTCTCCTTAGCCCCCAAACCATAGGTTTTCAATGATGGCTGATAGTGGTTAGGTACACACACACACACACGCACACACGCACGCACGCACGCACGCACGCACGCACGCACGCACGCACGCACGCACGCACGCGCTCTGCTTTGAATCCACCAAAATGCTACATCTTTAGCAGGGAAGCCAGGGTCTGTGAAGGATCTTATTGTTTGGAAAAGCCGAACAGGCAGGCTGGTGGGACCTCATCAAATAGGGAGTGGTCAAGGTGCCATTTCCAGGCGCCCAGCACTTGAGGCACCCAGCTGCTGCAAACAGAAGACTTGTGGGCTTGACATTGCTGTGCTCCTCCTGCAGCATCGTGTGTGTCGGCGGGGATGGCATGTTCAGCGAGGTGCTGCATGGGGTGATCGGGAGAACACAGCAAAGCGCTGGCATCGACCCCAATCACCCCAGAGCCGTGCTGGTGCCCAGTACCCTCAGGATTGGCATCATCCCTGCAGGTATGGCACGCATATGGCTTTCTCTTTATTGTTGTCATTAGGAGGGGGTCTCCATGCACAGCCTCAGGGCACATCCAGTCCTATGGTCATAACCCCACCACATCATTAGTAAAGGTTCCTTAGGATTAGGGCTTCAAGTGGGGGCAGGGATATCATTCCTGGTCCACCCTTCATGTAAATTGTGATTCTGCAATCAGGAGGCAGAGAAAAGAGGGTCAGGAGTTCAAGCTCACCCTCTGTTACATTCGGCCTAGATGATACTAGACCCTGTTTTGTTGTTTTTGTTTTTTTTTTTAAGTGATTTTTCTTTTTTCTTTTCTTTCTTTCTTTTTTTTTTTTTTTTTTTTTTGTTTTGTTTTGTTTTGTTTTTCAAGAAAGGGTTTCTCTGTGTAACAGTTCTATCTGTCCTGGAACTTGCTTTGTACTGGCCTTGAACTTACTGAGCCCAGCCTACTTCTGCCTCCTGAGTGGTGGGATTAAAGGCATGCACCACCACTGCCCAGCCAAAAAAGTAACTTTTATAAGTAGTTTCTCACAACTCCACTCCTTTCCATGAGAAATTACAAAAAGTAGAAAGAACACAACTGTGCATCTAGAAAGGATCCTTATCTCAGTGCTCTGAGAGCCTAGCCGCACACAAGATAGTTCCTGCCAACATCTGGGGTCCAGTGAGGCTGCTAGCATGGAGTCAGGAGGTCCCTGGCTCCTGAGGACAGGTGGTTGGGGTGGCTGTCTGGAAGAAGTGGCTTCTAACTGACCTAAGAGCTGGGATTTGGGGCTGGTGTGGGCTAGAGGAACCTGACCAGGAGTCCTGGGAGCTCAGGACGGGACAGAAATAGGCAAGCAGTGGCAGAACCCAGGACAGAACTTGGCCCACTTTGGGAGGAAGGTGGGGGGAGGAGGCTAGGCTGTGTCCTGAGGGTGTCCATCTGGTTTTCTAGAAAGCTCCTAATTCTTTGAAAGCACAGAGTGACGATCTTGACTTTTACCTTGACTGGCTGAGAGCTCAGGAGATTTGTGAAAGCACACTCCTGGGTGTGTCTGTGGAAGTACTTTGGGGAAAGCTTTGGTGGGACATTTGCTGTGCCTGAGGGAGGAGTTTCATCGGCAGGCTGATTGGCAGGCTTGATGAGCATGCACTAAGATGAAGGCAAATGGGGTGAGAGACCCTGAGGGAAGACAAGTTGGTTTCCTAGCCAAAGATGTAGAGCCCTTACTGTTAGCAAGTCCTTACCAGTCATCCCTTGGCCATCAGAGTGATCTGTGGAACCACAGCAGAGCCCCTGATTCTATGGAAGTTGCCACATGAATAGTGTGTGATGCTATTCAAAGAGGCTCTGGGAACTGACCTCTGCTTAGCAGGGGCTGTGTCCAAAACTTGATCTTTACTGTGCCACCAGGACTTCAGCTGGCTGCTGGCCTGTAGGCTAAGCAGGCAGAGAACTCCCACCATCCAGTGTGTTGGGAATGCCAAGTGGTACTGTGAGCACAGATTATTCTTTTCAACCTGACCCTCAATGCTAAAGACGTGCCTGACCATGTCACTAGGGTGGCAAATGAAAGCCTTGGGAGCCACATGCAGCCTCTTCACAGAGGAACAGCAAGTGGAGTGTGAACCGCCTGTCCTTGGGATGAAATCCGAAGCAAGTGTGACCTCCACTGGATCCAGCTGGTTCAAAAGCCTGATGTTTCTTTCACTTCATTAAAGCACAAAATGAGTTTCTCTGACAGAATACTCTTGGGGTGCTGATTCAGCTCTGACTTCTGCCCAGCTGTTTCAGCCAGGTGACAGCTCCCATGCTGAGTAGCACACAAGTAGATTCTTGCTTGATGCCACAGTGGGGACTGCAGGACAGTGCAGTGGGGATGGGGGTGGTGGACACCTTTGCCCCTCGGCCTGAAGTCAAGGAAAGTTCTGGAGGAATTGATTATTCAGTGCAATCATGATCACCTGGGGCAAGGTGAGGAGCTGGTTAGGCTTTGTAAAGGAGGTGGTGCCAAGGGCTTGGCATATGCAGCTCTCCCCGTTCACCCAGCAGAAGGGATGGGAATGGCCCGGCAGTGCTGGTGCACACTTTTAATCTCCACACTCAGGAGGTAGAGACCAGCTTGGTCTACAGAGCAAGTTCCAAGACAGGTCCCATAGCCTGTCCAGAGAAACCTGTCTTGAAAAACATAACAAAACAACAACAAAAAATCAGTCTCTAGTTCTGGTTACTTCACTAATACTATGGTGAAACACTATCACCAAAGCAGCTTAGGGAGTAAAGGGATTCAGCTTACACTTCCAGGTCACAATCCATCATTAAGGAAAGTCAGGACAGGCACTCACTCAAGCAGGAACTGAAGCAGAAACCACAGGGGCTGCTAACTAGCTTGCTCATTGGCTCATGCTTAGCTAACTTTCTTATACAGCCCAGGCACATCTGCTTAGGGATGGTACCGGCCACAGTGGACTGGGTCCTCCAGGACATGGCCATAGGTCAATCTGATTGGGACAGTCCTTCTTCCCAGGTGACTCTAGGTTTTGTCAAGTTGACAATAAAAACTAAGACCCTCACAGTTCACTTTGTTTGCCATGTACTTCCCCATGGCGGTGCTCTGTGCAGAACTCCTTTGTTTTTAAGGTTTAGGCTGAGCTATGCAGCACTACTGGCAGCTACATAGAGGTAGGTAGGGGCCACCTACCTTCCAGAGCTTTCCAAGGAAGGGAAGAGGCTGTCTGCATTGCAGACATCTCTTAGAAGCCCCAAGAGGGTTCAGGGTGGTCTCTGTGTCCAGGTAAGCTGCAGGCCATTTTATGGAACAATGCAACATTACCATAAGGTCATTTCCAGTATTTACAACCTTTATTTTTTGGGTGGGAGTCTCTTTATTCTTCAGCTATTCCAGGGCCAGAGAAGGACAGGATCAGCTGACTGGAAGTCAGGTACAGTTTTGGACAGTTCCGTTAGCACTAAAAGGGCTTTCCTGGCCTCTTTGCAGGATCCACAGATTGTGTGTGTTACTCAACAGTGGGTACAAATGATGTGGAGACATCAGCTCTGCATATCATTGTTGGTGAGTGAGTCTTACTTCCCTAAGTTTTTATATTTTATTTTTATTTTATGTATATCAGTGTTTTGCCTGTGTGTATGTTTGTGTACCATGTGTCTGAGGAGGTGGTGAGCCTCCATGTGGGTGCTGGGTATCAAATCCAGATCCTTCTCCACAACAAATGTTTTTAACCCTGAGTCAACTCTCCAGCCCCAACTTCTGTCTTGTACATGCGGGTGCCCCATGCACAGACCCCAGGCCTGCTAGTGTCATTGTAGCCCTGCAGTCTCAGGTTCTCCTCGCTATCCTCCCTTAGCTGGCTGCCAGGGCTGATCCCTGCAAGACTCCAAGGTGAGTTACTCCTTGAGTAACAGACACACCTAGCCCCTGCTCCAGTCCCAAGTGAGAAACCCCACAGGAGGAGGAGCTGTGGGGTTTCTGAGAAATGGTACTGTCCCTGTGCACCCCGTCACTCTTTACAGGGTCATGTCTTACTTGTAGTCATGGAAATGCTGTGTTTTAAAATAACCTCTTGGAATTTTATTGTTAGTTAGAGGTTTTTTGTTTGTTTGAGAACAGGGTCTCATTATATAGTTTCAAGTGGCTGCTACTTAGTACCTTGACCAGACTGGTCTCAAACTCACAGGGATGTGCCTGCCTCTGCTTCCTGAGTGTAATATTTGTTTGTTTGTTTGCTTGCTTGTTTGTTTGTTTTTGAGGCAAGCCTTTTCTATATCACCTAGGCTGGCCTCAAATTCACAGTTCCCTGCCTCAGTCTCCTGGGTGCTGGGATTGCAGGAGTGTGCACCACCACACTAGGCAGACTTTGTGTTTTAAGAGCTGCGTACCTGTTTTCAACCTCAAGCCTCCTTTTCTTTCCATCAGTAACATGCACAGCCCCCTGGACATGTTCTGTCCCTTCAGAACAATTCTCAGACTTTACTTGGAAGTCAGAGGCAAATTTTGTCATTGGAGAACTTGTTTAGAGGTTCCAGCATACACCCTGGGCCTATGAATGGTCCTCCTCTATCTAGGAAGGTTGTCCTCTCTGACTGAGTGGGCAGCTCTGGGAGGGACACAGATGAAGTGTTGTAGGAGGAAGGGACACCCACCCAACCAACCAGATCTACCAAATCCACCCTGCTGCCTGCAATGGCGTGACAGACAGATGTCACAGTCAGATAACTGTGGTCACATCTGAGTCTTGTCACCCAGACTGCTACACTGAGCAAGTTCTGTTTCTTGTGTTTGCAGCAGGCAGGCACCTCCTGTGTAGGCAGAGGCAGGGCAGAGGAGGTCAGAATGGGGACAGGGCTCACTTATAGCTCTCCTCTCCCAGGGGACTCACTGGCCATAGATGTATCCTCTGTGCACCACAATAGTACGCTGCTGCGGTATTCGGTGTCTCTGCTGGGCTACGGCTTCTATGGGGACTTAATCAAGGACAGTGAAAAGAAACGGTGGATGGGCCTCGTCAGATACGACTTCTCAGGTATGCTGTGTCCACAGACATTGTGCTAACCCTCACAGTGCCCCCAGGAACAGACTCTGGTCCTTGCTTTCTAGACTGACCCTGAATCTAGCTATTGTGACACAGACCCTGTTCCCCCTTGGAGTCCCAGCATGTATCAGAACTAAGGGAGGCCCTGTTGACTGGAAGCTTGGCTTTATCATCTGTCATGTAAGTGGTACTAACCCAAGAGATCAAGGTAGATGTTTTCATGGGAAAAGATTCTTTTCATGGTTACCCTTAGCCCAGCAGGTGAAGTGGGGCCTTCACTATGAGGAAGCGCAGCAGCCCTGGGCATCTCCCATTCAGACTCAGGGTCTCATCTTCCCCTTCCATGAATGCACTGTTTTCCTGAGTTTCTACAGCAGTGGCCATCAGCCGTTCCGCTACATCTGGGAGCATATGTAACTGACCAGGAAAGCAGAGGTCTGAGGTCTGCACCTGCTTCAGAGGCACTCCAGCTGGGACAGGGAGCACCAGACAGGTGTTCCCCTTCCTCCCTCATGCTCCTATTGTGCAGCAGGGACTCAGTACCCATTTCCCAGTTGAGACAATAGGTACTTAAATAACTTGCCCAGGTCTGTTGTCACTCTTCCTGCAAGTCAGTGCCTCTCAGAGGAAGTAAGCATCGGTGTCCCCAGGAGGCTTGTTAGAGCCCAGACCTCAGGGCCTTCCAAAAGTGTAGCTGGTGTGGGGCAGACCTGCAAACAGCCTGTCTGCCAGTGCCCTGGGGATGCAGACAGAACCCTCAGTAGTAGCCATGTCCCCTCTTACCTAACCACCAAGCCTGGATGAACGAGAAATGCAGGTCAGCTTCAGGTTACACCAAAAGTTTCCACCTGCTGGTTTCAGGTAGTGGGTGGGTCCTTCCTCCCACCCCTATCAGGTTTAAAATGCCAAGGAGAGGCACTTAGGGGGAAAGATGAGAAATGCAGGGTGAGGCATTCTAGTGGTCCAGATGAATCCTTTTCCTGTGTTTGGTATATTCCCCGTATCAGGGCCCTGCTCTGTACAGTTCATCTCTGGCAAAACTGTGTAAAGTTTAATGACTCCAAGCACCAGGAGCCACCCTTTCCCTAGTGAAAGGACACTGTGGTATGGCAGAGGTACAACATACACCCAGCCCTTCCAGAAGAGAAGGGCTCTGGGTGCTGGGTCAACTGTGACCATTTCCATATTGAAGTTACTGTGCCTGCCCCCATCTGCTAGGATGGGGGGCCCAGCTGGTTCAGAGCCTCTGGCTAGTGCCTTCTTTCTCCATCTTCTCAGAACACATCTGAGAAGCCCCATCCTTCTGATCAGGTGGGAATAGCCTACCTGGTCTTTGTCCCCATCATATTACAGTCCTGACAGAGCCACTTGAGGGTGTTAGCACATATCTGTTGATGTCGGTGTTTGGCATCATGGGATAGAAACGTCCTCTGGGCAGTTGAGAGTTTTATGAAGGAGAGAGGTGTAAAATGGACCATTCTGTCCTGGACCCTTTGATGCCCCAGGGCTGGCTGATGGCTAGAGTTTGGAAAGAGGTGTCTTATTTGTGATGAGACAACTGTCCTAGGGTCATATTAGAGCTCAGTGTTGCACACCACACACAACAACCAGGCTCCACACAACTGTGAGTCAGCTCCTGCAGTGCGCTGGGCCCTGGACATCTCCCGGGGCCCTCAGGGAGTAAGTGTAAAGAGAAGGTAGTGCCGACACCCAGGCAGAGGTAACAGAAGCCCCATGATCCAGAGCCATTCTCCACAAAGCTCCCCCTGCACCCAGCACCTGGCATAGGGGAGTAGCACCTGGAGAGGCATCCAGAATAAGGTGGGAGGAACCAGGACCCTAAGAGGGGGGCAGGCGCTTATGGCCTTGTATGTGAGGCTATGATGAAGTGGGGGCAGGACCCCTGTGTGGAATGGAAGGGCTTGGTATACTAGAGGTTAGATGGGGTGGATGCCTCAAGGCCACCATCACATCACAACATACATGAACTAGGCAAAGAGGTCGTACAGAACCACAGCAAGCCCAGCTGCTCCCGGAGCAGGTGGTCACCCTAAGACTTGCAGGAATGCCTGGACTCCTGCATGCCTCCTATTCTCAGAGGCCCAGCAGTCCAGCCTGCTGGCCTTGCCTATCCTACATGCATCATGCAGCTGGCACCACAGATAGCACCGCACAGTAGGCCCTTTAGGAAGCTGGACCACCCTGACCTTGGCCTTAAGTTCACCCAGGAGACGACTCCGGTGGGGGTTAAGCACACAGGAGGTGGGGGCATTGGTGACCACATTGAAGAGGGATGGTAGAGACCCCGCGCCATCAGGCCACACCATCGAATTCATGCAAGGTTGATGCTGCCAAGTATCACCTTTAACCCATGTTTTTGATGTGGTGCTGGTACATGGGCCATTGTGGGCAGGGCAGAATCTGCATCTCCTGGTACAGTAGCGGTGTCACCTGGTACAATAGCAATGTCACCCACAAGATCCCTCCTGCCCCCTGCAGACTGTTCAGCTTCCTGCCTTCTTTCCTTTTCTTTCCTTTTTTAAAAAAATGATTATTTTCTGTGTGTGAGCAATATATACATATCTAGTGCTTACCGAGGCCAGAAGAGGGTGTCAGATCCCCCAGAACTGAATTTACCTATGGTTGTGAGCCACTGTGTGGGTACTGGGAATCCAACCTGGATCATCTTGTCTGCTGAGCTACCTCTCCAGGCCCCTATCCTCTTGGTGGTGGTGGTGATGGTATGAAAGGATACTTGTAACCAGGCAGCGACACATGGGTGTTCTTTCTTGGCTCTTCTCCCCAGGGTTGAAGACATTTCTCTCTCATCAGTACTATGAAGGGACAGTGTCCTTCCTCCCAGCCCAGCACACAGTGGGATCTCCACGGGACAAGAAACCTTGCCGGGCTGGGTAAGCAGGTGCATTTCTATGTGGGTTTCCATTGTAAATGACTTGACATATACAGGGCTGTTTGGGAGCCTGTTCCTGTGAGGACAGTAGCTGCAGAAGGGCTTTCTGAACACAGAGGGAAGACTGTAAGTTTCATAGGTTTGTGCAGGGCTTCTCAGTTCACAGATGCTTCCAGAAGAGCTAACTCAACATCTCCATCCTGGTGATGTGAACAGCAGCTATGTTGTCCCCAAGCTGCAGACTCAAAGTGCAGGTCCGAGACTAGGCCAGCTGCACCCGCATCCAGGTGAGAAATATGCTCTAAGTCAGTGGCTCAGCTCTGAGTTACATACTGACTGCAGCATAGGCTCATCACACTCATTACCCAAGGTAAGGGCATTTTCACTCTAAGGCTGCTGCTTGCTGGATTTTTCATGTCACCATTGATGCATCTTGAGCCAGGCAGGTAAGCCAGTCTTAGAGATGTTTGTAAGCCTTGGAGAAGGGAGCTGCTGATTAATAGGTATGAATTTAATTCTAATTTTGAGAGTTCAAAAGTAGTATGCTAAAGAATTTTCTGTTGAAGCCAGCCAGGCAGTGGTGGTACACACCTTTAATTCCAATACTTGGGAGACAGTGGCAGAGGCAGGCGGATCTCTGTGAGTTTGAGGCCAGCCTAGTCTACAGAGCGAGTGCCAGAAGAAGCTCCAAAGCTACACAGGGAAACCCTGTCCAGAAAAACAAAAACAAAAGACAAAATAACAACAAAAAAGAGTTTAAATGCTTTTCTGTGTGTGGGGACCAGGGGCAGTGGCGACCTTCAAATGTACCCAATGTACGCACTAGAGGCACAGTCACACACTGTCTTCTAGGTGCTTCGTGTGCAGGCAGAGCAAGCAGCAGCTGGAAGAAGAACAGAAGAAAGCCCTGTATGGCCTGGAGAATGCTGGTAATCTTTGCGAGTGTATTCTTGTGTGCGTGGCCCTCGGTGCATGACCTCTTCTGGCCCTCCATCTTATCTCCCCCTTCTCCTGGTTGTACTGTGTCAGTTTTATCTCTAGCTCGAGGCAGCATGGAATCATTGCAGCTTTGGAGATGCTAGGGAACCTAGATATTTGTTGAAAAGCCTTCGATTGCTGTCACAAGGCTGACCAGAGCCAAGGCTGCTGTCCCAGCAACTATGGAATATGGATGGGCAAATACCCTGTTTGGACTTGGTTGATGAGTACCTTCTGCTCTAGTCACCACAAGGTCTATGTTACATCCCTACCCTGCCAGAATGGCAGCTACAGTGTGTATGGATTGTCACCTGCCTTCAGCATTCTATTGTTCTTTTAATTTTTTTCAGACTATTCAAATCTGTGGCAACCATTCTCAGCCTATAAGCCATATAAAGAGATGATAGGCCAGATTAACCCCTGCAGAGGTCTGCTATACTTGACTTTTTCTTCTGAGCCACCAACCAGCTCCCAAATCATGACACAGAGACTTATTATCTTATTATTAGTTATGAATGCTCAGCCTAGCTTACGCTCATTTCTGGCTAGTTCTTTTAACTTAAATTAACCTGTTTACCTTTTACCTTAGGGCTTTTTACCTTCCTTCAGTATCTTTCATTATTTTTTTTAATTATTATTTATTTATTTATTTTTATTTTACATATCGATCCCAGTTCCCTCTCCCTCCCTCCCTTCCTCCCTTCCTCTCTTCCTCTTTCCCTCTCTCCCCCCCTCACATGTACCCCGACCACCCTCCCCTCCCCTCCCCCCCACTCCACATGTAGGGTGATGCCATCCAGGAGGGGTCATCTAAATCTGTCAAGTCATTTGAAGTAGGGACTAGGACTTCTCTTCTGTCTCTAGGTTAAAGGACTATCCCTCCATGGGGGATGTGCCCGCAAGGTCCTTTTGTGCACCAGGGATACATCCTGGTTCCACTGTCTGAGGTCCCTTAGACTGCTCAGTCCTTCTAGCTGAGACCCATGTTCAGGGGATCTGAGTCAGTCCCATGCTGGATTCCCAGCTATGTCTGGGGGCCTGTTAGCTCCTCCTTGTTCAGGTCAGCTGTCTCTGTGTTTCTGCAACGTGGTCTTGTCCTCCCTCTCTGCATCTGGATTCTAGTTCGGCTCAGTGTTTAGCTGTGGGTGTTTGCTTCTGTTTCCAACAGTTACTAGATGAGGGCTCCATGATGGTGGATAAGTTAGTTGATCTCACTATCCAGGAAGGGCATTTATGGTAGCCTTTCTACTGTTGCTCAGATTGTTAGTTGGAGTCAATCGTGTAGGTCTCTGGACATTTCTTTAGGTTCAGTTTTCTCTTCAATCCTATAATGGCTCCCTCTTTTATGTTCTCTCTCTTTCTCCCTCTCTCTCTCTCTTTTCTGTCTTCTAATCCTCCACTGACTCAATCTTCCTAGTCCCACATGCTTTCCTCTTCTCCCCTTCTCTTTCTCCTAGTTCCCTCTTTACTCACTGCCCCTGCCCCATCCCCCATATGCTCTGGAGATCTTGTCCCGTTCCCCTTCTGTGAGGGACCTTATATGAATCTCTTAGAACCCCCCTTGTATCTTAGTCTATGGCCATACCACCTTGAACGCGCCTGATCTGATCTTTCATTATTTCTTGTGTCTGGCTGGCTGGTGGCTGCCTGGTTTCTGGCCCCAGGTGTGTCCATCTCTTTCTCCCTCATTTTCTTCTTTCTTCTCCTTCCTCCCTCCCTCCCTCTCTTTCTCATGCCCAGATTTCTCCTCCTATTTATTCTCTGTGCCTGCAAGCCCTGCCTGTCCCTCTCCTGCCTAGCTATTGATCAATCAGGTGCCTTAGGCAAGCTGAAACAAACAAAACACATCTTTACATTATTAAACACACATCCTTATGTTGTTAAACAAATGCAGCATAAACAAACACAACACGCCTTTATACAGTCAAAGTAATATTCCACAGCATAAACAAATAGAATACATCTTTACCCAGTTAAAAGATTCCATAACAGTTTGCTCACCCTTGTCCAAAAGTGCTTTTATGGGGAGTAGGGAAATGACCTGCTCCACATAAGACCATGATATGAAGTCAGGCCAGAATTAAAGTCAAGAACACATATCAAGAGAGAGATCAGCCACCACCCCTTGAGGCTGTGCAGCTGCCTCTGTACCACGCTGACCATGGCACCCATCTGCTGTCTTCTCCAGAGGAAGTGGAAGAGTGGCAAGTGGTGTGTGGGAAGTTCCTGGCTATCAATGCCACCAACATGTCCTGTGCTTGTCCCCGGAGCCCCAGGGGCCTGTCCCCTGCTGCCCATCTAGGAGATGGATCTTCTGACCTCATCCTCATCCGGAAGTGCTCCAGGTTCAACTTCCTGAGATTCCTTGTCCGGCACACCAACCAGGATGATCAGGTAAGGTGCACTCTTGCCCCAAGGTCATTTATATTTGGCCAATCCCTGTCCTGCTCGTTTGTGGGATATGTTGTTTATTAACGCCAAGGAAAGAAGGTCTTTGGATATGTATTTTACACATTAACCTCATGGATTCCGTCATGTAAATTTCATTTAAAAATATAAATCTGGGGGCTAGAGAGATGGCTCAGCAGTCCCTGCAGAGGACCTGGGTTTGATTCCCAGCACCCATATGATGGCTCTCAATTGTCTGTAACTCCAGTTCCAAGGAAGCCAGTGTCTTTTTCTGGCCTTCATGGGCACTAGGCAGGCACATCATGCATAGACATACATGTAAGCACCTCCCAATATACAATTAAATAACTAATTTTTAAAAATAGAGAATTCTACAAATCACCACTAATGAACCACAGAGTTCTTAGAGTGGTGTCTGTCTGTCTGTCTGTCATGTACACATGAGTGCAGTTGCCTGTGGAGACCAGAAGTGTTAGATTCCCCCTAAAGCCAAAGTTACAAGTGGTTGTGAGCCACCTGATGTGGGTACAGTGACCCAAACTCTGGTCCCTGACAAAGCAATATGGGTTCTTAACCCCTGTGCCATATCTCTAGCCTGAGACTTGTGATGTCAAAGGTATCAGCAGTTGTCTGACGCCCCTGGGAGGGAGGGCAGTACACATGTTGTTTGTAAGTTGTCCCATGAGGAGGACTTGTGGCTTGGAGACACTGCTCTATTGTGTCTTCACAAGGCCATGAGCACTGACTGCTGAACCAGCAGAGGTGGAAGACCGGTCTCACTGATTGGCCAGTGCCCCCATGATGTTTGCCTTGGCAGTTTGACTTCACTTTTGTCGAAGTTTATCGAGTGAAGAAATTCCAGTTCATATCAAAGCATGTGGAAGATGAGGACAATGACCTGAAGGAACAGGAGAAGCAGGGGTTTGGGCAGATCTGCCATGACAGTACTCCATGCAACTGCTCAGCCTCTAGAAGCTCCTGGAACTGTGATGGAGAGATCCTGCACAGCCCTGCCATCGAGGTCAGGTAAGTGGGCAGAACCCAAGCCATCTGCCCAGATGTCTGTCACAAGTGTTGTCTTTGCCAAAGTGTGCTTCAAGACATCAGCGAGAGCGAACTCACCAGGGTTTGTAGCAGAAAACAAGAGGATTGTTTTCCCATGTCCTCTCATGGCAGGTGGAAGCCTTACCGTCTGATGTTTGCATGGGGCAGGTGCTGACTTTGTGGTTCTGTTTTGCAGACATAGTAAGATTTTGAGGTTACTCTGTTCTGGCCTCTTTCCAATATTATGCATTCTGCCCCTGATCTCTGTCATAGTTACACATTCCTCTCTCTAGTTAGAAAAATAATCAAACTAACTGGCATCACAGGCTCTTCCTAAGTCCTGGATCCCCTCAACAATCCCCCCCCCAATCCCCGTGGAGTATCTGGCCTCTGGCCAGGTATAGGTATGAAAGGTAGAGATGAGCAGCACAAGACAGGAGTCAGAGGTAGTTGGAAGATCATCCTGAAGCTTTGGAGGGAAGGGGAAGGGGAAAGGAGGTGGAGTCTCAGGGGGCCCTTTAGAGGCCACACAGCCTTGGGAGCCTTGGAAGCTTAGGGTGGCCAGCAAGGACATGTGCAAGAGCCCAGAGCTAGGTGGCTGGCTCTGAGTGACTTTGCCCATTCAGTCACCTAGGTCCCCAAAGGGAGCTTTGAGGGTTGATGCTGAGCCTCAGAACTGAGGTTACTCCCATACCCCATGAACTAGGCTGAGTGTCCAGCATCCAAGCTATGAGTAGATGGAGGGAGGTTCATTCACATGCCCACTCTTGCTGGTGTGTGTGTGGGGGTATTTCTTCCCCAACATGTGGTATTGGAATTGAACCCAAAGAGAGCAAAGTCTGTCCTCATAGAGAGAATAAAGTAAGTTGTCTTTTGCAAACAGACTATTGATGTAGTGTGATTGTACATATTCAGAGACTGAGGGAGAACTGTAAGATTCTGGGAGGTGTGGGGCTCGGGTCGGCTGTGAGTGATGGAACACACATGTTTAAATGCAGCTGTTTGCCTCTGCAGGGTCCACTGCCAGCTGGTGCGCCTCTTTGCTCGGGGAATTGAAGAAGCGTCCTAAGCAAGAGTCCCAAAGCTGAGAGGCCATCTACCTTGAGCTTGGGAGTGTGAAAGTTACTTAAGAAAAATTCTACAGACCAATTATGTTGACATATCCATTTAAATTTAGAAATTTATTTTTGATAGGTAAATCTTGGTTTTAGAAAAGACAGCTTTGTCAATAATTCTGTATACGTACCTGGCACCCTCACCTCGGTTCTATGTGCATTTGAGTCGCTTTCCACATAACTTGTTCTCAGCAAATGGCACTTGCTTGTTTGGGGCATTGGCCTGCTAGATTTTAGCCACGCCAACCATGCAAATTTCAAGAATGCCTTTAGTGGCTCTTCTGCAATAATTTTAGGGACATTATAATATGAATACTTCCCAGGAATCAGGTTACACCATCTGGACACATGGGTAACTACCTGGTCACTCTGATCCCTTCGTGAGACTTTCTCTGGAGTTGTTCGTGACCAAGTTTGGGAAAGTAGGTGGCTCTATTTGCATTCTCTTTACACCAACCTTCATTTATGATCAGGATGTTGCTAAGTGGCCCTGCCGTATGCCACAACCGTAACTCAATACAGTGAGGTCCTCCGCACAGCTGCGCCTCCAGAGCGGGGGCCTTGTCACTGCAAGAAGACACCCAGGGTGACGTCTCATCCTCAGGATTCCCTACATCTGCTGCCATCGCAGCTGCATCCTGTGAAACAGTTCAGCAAAATACCCACTGGAAGTTTCGTTCCGTCAACCCTGGTAGCCCATACACTCTGGCCTGGGCATTCTGTCAATCACTGGCCAAAAGGAGGCCCCATTTGGAATTAAAGCACTTGGCACAGCTGGGCTTTGGGGTGTGGGGTGTAGGCAGAGGGCATCTGGCATGCATAGAGAGTACTTTGGGGATGCTATACCACCCTCAACCTGAGTGACACCAGTGGGATGGTGGGTTACCCCAGGTCACCCCCAAGTACTTTGGTGCAAGCCCTGTGTCTGTTCCCAGGGTCCAAATCCATTCTCCCCTCACCATGGAGTCTACCCCATGTACTTATGATAGCTTTCTCCTTGATTATCAGAAGGGTATTAATCCATGTCTTGGCTATTTGCTTTGTCTCCACAAGGGGACTGCTAGCTACTCTGGCTGAAGCCCTGGCTCATGACCAGTTTCCTCTGAAGGCATTCCTGACCCAGGGCCTTCTCAGCCACACACTATGTGAGGCCTGTACTGTGTCTCCAGACTGATGGCATGTGTAAAGCATGTAAAAAGAGTTTTATGTGAAATTTAAGAACACGAAGCTTAAAGTTGGCTTGCAAAGGGAGAGGGACACTGACTGTTACAATAGGTTTTAGGTTCTGTATTGGGGAATGTGTGCATCTCATGAAGGTATTGCTAGTCATTACAGAGTTCTGCAGGCTGCCCCTGTTTCTAGGTTGACTTCTATTTTGAAGCATACATGAAATTCTTTGTTTAGTATTCAGTTCCAACCAGACAAAAAAGGGCAGCTGTAAAGGCTGCTGTGTTTAGGGACCATGTTAAAGGCAATTGTGTAGTGGTGCTACTTAATGATTGATGGTCGAGTGAAAAGCTGGATAGAAAGAGAAAATGCACCTAGCAGTTTCTATCCAGGTCTGTTCCTGGATGGGCAGAACTAAAGGTGTCAGACTAGCAACTCTTTGAAGTAGATGGGCAGCCCTGGAGCAGTGTTAGATGCTTTGGTGTCCACCTTACTGCCCATTCACCCCTGGCATTCCAGAGGGGCTCAGGACCTGAGGCAGCTGTGGGTGCTCCTGGCTGTCAGGGACAGCACTCGTTCGCAAGGATCCAGGTCTTCATGGCCTTGCTACATGCTGCCACTGCCAATTCTAGAGGAGGGGGTCCAGACAGAAGATGCATTGATAGGGCTTAGCAGTGCAAGCCACTTCCAGAACAAACCTCATCACTATCATAGAGAGTCCCGAGTGTCAAGACACTTATGACCTTTGATACTTGTACACAGGTTGGGAGGGGCCCCCTGACATTCTCAAGCAGTAGACTACAGTCTCCATGATGCTTTTTAGATGCAATACCCCAACCCCAGGCCTTAGGTATTTTAGGGAAAAAAAAAAAAAAGACCAGGAGTAAAGATTAGACAGTGGCAACTTAGGATCCTGCAAGGGGTCTAGTCCATGTTTTAACTCCTCTGTGGCCCACTGGTGCACAACAGTTAGGCTGCAGCCATAGGTGGTAACTTATTGTTTATCAAAATGAAGCAGCGGGAATGAAGAGCGGCTGCTTTCCCCGCGGCTGCTTCAGTCCTCAATCATTTCCTGGAACCAGGAACACTGATGGCCAAATATGCCTCCTGATCTTGCTGGCTTCAAGATTAGCAAGTGGCATATTTGAGCTGATATGTTTGAGAAGACAAATAAATAAATAAAATTAACTTTGGGCAGAATTTGGTGTCCCCCCACCTTTTTATTTTTTAACAAGTTTTTATTTTCAAAGCAGATTTTAAAAAGTGTAGTTTAATGAATCTGTACTAAGAGACTGGGTGATTGTGTGATTGTGCTCTCCCTGAGGAATCTACCCGTCCCTCATCCCCTTGGTGGGTTTCTCCGCTGCTATTTTAACATGTGAGGAGTCCCTTCCTTGCATATGTCTCACATTTGCAAATTTACTTAGCTAGCAGGTCCTGCCATTTGCCTGAAGGAAATGCACCAGGTGTTGCTTCGTGACTCAGTGATGCAGCTGTGCTCACACAGTACAGTTGTGCTGGGTTGAGTGTGAGCACCCTGTCTCTGGACCATCAGCCATAATGGCACATGTGTGGGTCTGTACCCATTGCCCTCACCTATTCCACTTGACTGAAGGAAACTAGATAAGGGGCTCATGCACCAGGCATGGTGGTGTGTGCCACACGTGCAGGAAGGATGGCTGCAGAGGGGCTGAGAGGTAAGTGAGGAGTAACTAGAATGTCACAGGGGGTGTGATCTCAGGAGAGCTGAGAGTAACTATTTGCCAGGATCTCAGGGAACTGCATCCCAGTACAAAAGACAGTGTATGCTATGGATGGAGAGACAGAAATTGGATGGATGCATGGATGGATGGATGGATGGATGGATGGATGGATGGATGGATGGATGGGCGGGCAGGTGCGTGGGTGAAATATATGTGTATGGAAGGATAGATAGGTATGTGGATCAATATAAGGATGGGTCATAGATGGATAATGTATGAGTGGATGGATAGACATGCAAATGTCCAAACTCCTATGGCCACATTTCTGAGTACCCACTGGTCCAAGCCCCATTCCAAAGAGGTCTTGGCAGGTCCTGCTTACTAGAAGGTCATTTAGTGTTGGGGTAGAGCTGGGATAGGGACAGTGCTGGGGTAGGGGTGGGGCCAGGCACAATCAGAGTGCATTCTCAGGTTTGACTCTCAGGTTTTCTGGTAATCCTGTGTCCAGTGTCAGCATCTGAACTAGTAAAGTCACAGCATTGTCAGAGACCATTCTGCTCAGGACCCTAGGCTGGCAGAAACCACAACTCAACAGGCCCAAGGCCTACACCACAACCCTAAGGCATTGCCTGGTCCAGATCCCCCCTCACATACCGAGGGCCAGACACCTCTCCTCTGGCCTGTCTTCTGGGACCTAGGGTCTACCTTCTCTTCCCAGCATCCCTCACACCAGGGGGTACAGAAGAGCAAACTGCACCCACTACCAGGGCCCCACTTCAGATCTAAGCCTTCATTCTCCAAGGAAGGAGGTCTTGCTGAATCCCGCTGCAATGGTGACCGTGAGGACTGTAGTGTGGTGTCAGCCTTGGGGGTGGGGGGAGTTTGGCAACTCAACTGCCCTAACAACATCCACACACACTGCCAAAAACAGAGGCCCCCGGGCCTTAGCACAGAGCATTTTAAGGTTTATTAAATAAAAATTATAATTTATACAAGACTTTGTATCTAAACAAGATTTTTCTTTAAAAATGAAAAAAAAGTGACAGAGAATTTTTCTTCCTATCAGTTCTTTATAGAATATGATCCTTTCATAGAACAAAAGTTACACCAATAACAATTATGTACAGATCCAAAACAGACTTAGGCTTCAGACATACAAAATTGAACATTCTAGGTCAGTGATTAGTCAGAAATTAAACACTTGCTCAAATCACACAATCCAGTAAAAACCCCAGTGTCTCTAAGTATGCCATCGCCTTCACAGGCCCCTGGCCCAGCCCTGTCTCCCTGGCCTGTGGTCAGTCTTCATCTCTCTTTCCAAGAGAAAGAGACTCCAACTAAACCTCTTGTTCCATCCTAAAAGCCCATTCAGCTCAAGGCCTCTGGGTGGCACCCCGGGGCAGCATTCGCCAACCCAGGGCACTGCCAGAGTTCAGAAAGCATTAACCACCATGTGTGGTCATCACCCATGCAGCCATCCCCAGAGACAGGTCAGAGGTCATATTTCCTCCCCTCTGGCATGTTAGGGGTGCCACCAGGTCCTCCCTTATCTCACTCCATGCTCTTCAGAGCATGAGCATATTACAAGGGCCCAAGCCACAGCCCTGGGTGGAGGGTCCTGCCTCCATGTTCAGACTCCCCCCCCCATGTACCTGGAGCTATGAGGCCTTTGAGGCACATCTGGGGTGGTATGTGTGCTTGATACGGCTGCCTGGCAAGCCTTTCCCAACCCCAGTGTGTGGCCTGAAGCCCCTGGGAATGGGGTGTCATGAGCCCAAGCCACCAGGCCTCACACCCACACCAGCAAATGAGGATTGGAGCAAAGGTAAAAATTACATTTGAAAAATGATACAAAAATAAGAAAAACAGCTTGCTCTCTGTAAAAAATAGAATCTTCTGTTTCTTCAAAAAAACAATCTCAGTGACACCTGAAGGACTCAGGACAAGCTGAAGGAGTCATGACCCACCCAGAAAATGCACAGGTGGGGTGGTAGTTGCACCCTTCAGAGGCCAGGCCTGCAAGATCACCCACCCCTGTGGTCTTCACCTTGGTTGGGGCAGGAAGCATGGGTAGGGCGGGGTCTGCCTGGCCCTTGCTGAGCATGTAGGAAGAAGGAATACTGTTAAGATGTTAGAGGTACAGGGCAACTTGGACGCCCAACCTCTAGGTTCTGCCCACAGTGTCCCCTGTGGCACAGGGCCCTCCCCTATCTCCCTGACAGCCCTGCAGGCCAGCTCCCTGAACCCACCCCATTACTTGGAGGGGCTGCATCCTGGAGGCCAAACGCCAGCCAGACTACCAGTGATTCTCACTGAACAGCAGCTGGAGTGGGAAATGCCCTCAAAACCTTCCCAGAAAGCCAAGTGTTTAAAAAAAAAAAAAAGTGTGCTTTTGCCAACACGCCATTCTGGACCCTTGCTGTCCATCAACCAATGGCCTGGTCTCTTGGCTGGAGTGTCAAGCCAAGATGGGTCAGATGAGTGACAGCTCAGGCCCAGACACTGAAAATGGAAGGGGAGGTACCTCAAACATACCAAACCCTGAGAGGTCCTACCCACAGCCTTGCAGTACCCACTGAGTGAGATGACTGGCCATTTTTTTTTTTTTTTAACCAGAAAGGGGCCTCCCCACCACTTCTGTCTGCCTTACCATCCCGGCAAGAAGGGGCCACAACCACTCCCAACTATGGCTTTGATGGAAAAAAAGCCTCTAGTCTCTGGAGAAGAGGGATCATGGGATCATGGAACCTCTCACGATGGCAGGTGCTGGGTCTGTACCCAGGCCGGGATGGAGAATGAGGAGCTGTGCTTAGCCAGGTCTGAGGACGATTGCCTTGTGTGCCATCCTTCAAACAGGTTAAGAGGATCCTCTGCCCACCTGTGTCCACAGGTGTCCTCGAAGGTGCTTCACGAGCTCAGCACGGGCCAGCCCGGCACCATCCAGAGTCCAAGCCCTTTGGGTATGCAGAACCCAGGCCGCCATAACCAGCCATAGTCCAGAATTATTGCCAAAGATGAGAAGGACATCCCATCTGACCCTCTAGCCAATGATAAGAAAGGATTCCAGCAACACCTTCGAGTCAATACTAGCTGTCGCCACCAGAGGCTGCTGCAGACGTGATTTTCACATACTGGCTGAAAATGGTCTCAAAGGCTTCATCTCTGTGCACCATGGCACCAAACACCAGGGGCTGGTGGGAAGAAATGGAGGGCAGGGTGTGGGTAGTGAGCATGTCATAGCCAGGCTGGGGCTAGAATGTCAAATCAGGACAGCAGCCTGGCCAGAGCAAATGACCAGACACTCCTCTCCAGGCTATAAGAGGACCCAGCCTTTCCTACTTGGATGGTTGCAGGATTCATTCCCTCTGGGCCTCACCAACCTGTCTGTCTTGTAACTCTGGTGCCCACCCAAGCTAAACTTTCTGGACCTTAACTTCATGCAGCAGGTTCCTGTGCTGAGGGAGAAAGCAGCCTCTGCCCAAACTGAAACCTCATCCCTAGGAGGCTCACTTAGGTCCCCTGGTGGCAGATGGGGTGGGGTAGGCTCATTTGCCAGGCACTTACTTTCTGGGTTGATGGAGTTGATACAGCAATCCCCATGCCTGAGCCAGGAAGGACGGACAAGACTTTGTACTGAAAAGCAAGCACACCCATCATCACCAGCCTCCCCCAAGTACAGGGGTGAAGTCAGTGCCCTTTGTGCCCAGGGCATTCTCCTCTGCCAGACACACAGACACAAAGACCCGTAGAGGCCTATGACATCTCAGCCACATGAGGTAAAAGGGCTGTGTCTCCTGATTTTGTGGTGACCCTCATGTACTCCTGGTAGCTCATAGTCTGGGTGAGGTCACATGTCAGCATGGCTGATTCACTAAGGGTCGACTAGGATGATCATGGCCCTGACATCCTGCCTTCTGGTTACCAGACAGTAAACCTAGAGGAGTGACCATTTAGCTCTGGGCTGAACCTAGGCTGGTACTAGGACTATGCATATGTAGGCTACTGGCTGGCACCCAGGCTACTCAGTTGGGGAAGCTGATTGGCTCCATGCTCAATAGGTTCCTGTTCCCTCCAGGCACTGCACACCCTACATGCCAAACGTCTAAGGAAACTGCTGAACTTCATTCCACGGTTACAAATCTCTTTGTGCTCATTCGTAAGTGCCTATGGAAGGAGCCCAATGTTTACTGGGGGCGGTGGTAGAAAGCAGACTTGGACACAGGTAGAAAGCCTATGATAGAACTTTTCAGATTCTCCTTTCAACACACAGCAAGGGCTGGGACATAGTTCTGTTAGTAGAATGCTTTAAGCAAACAAACAAAAACAAAACAAAAACCCAAAAAACAAAAAACAAACATGTATGAAGTCCTGAGTTTGATTCCCAGCAGCACAAAATAAACTAGGTTCAAGGTCAGCCTGGGCTACATGAGACCCTTTCTCAAGGGGAGCACAGCATCTCAGGCAAACCTCACCGTTGCTCTTTGCTGCATGTACAACAGTGCCCAGGCCAACTGCTGACCCCAGGACCAGGAGAGAAGTGAGACTGCACTGCGGCCCACGGTGCACAACTACCTCAGAAGGAAGCTAGCTGACAGGGCTCTTCATGGGCTTCCAGAAGACGAGCTGCAACACTGGCGGCAGTAGCACCTGCAGAAGTCTCTAGATAGCAGCCCCCACAGCCCTGGAATCCTCAGAAAACTTCTCCAGCTCTGTGGCCCCTGACACCCCAGGAAGGAAGTATGGCAGGCTGGGTGGGCACCCACCTTCTGGATATCTGTGATGTCCGCCAGCTTGATCACTTTGTTCCTCTTTGAGGACCCAGACTTGGAGCTTTCGAAGCACAGATAACTAGATGGGGAGGAAATGCAGAGGCACGAGATAACAGCCAGAACAGAGGGGCTCCTGCTAAGTAAGGTCCTCCCCGACTGCCTCCACAGCCCCGTGGGATTGTCAGTGACCCACCACACTCAGCACCTGGAAGAAACTGAACACCCTTTCTCTCCCAGAAAACCCCCAGAAGGAGTTGCAGGGAGGTGTCCTGGGGCCCCATCAGGCTCTCCTGGGCAGGCTTTGACTATTGCTGCATATATGGGAGACAGGATGGAAAAGGGCCCCATGAAGATGACCATATATACCCTATCCCTGTTGTAGTCCTCAAATCCCATAGGGGTGCTGAGGGATAGCAAGGATAGGTGCTGTGTAGTCCCACATAGGGGACAAATGCCAAAGCTACCTTTAGCCTAGCCTCGGACAGCATGGAGTCATGAACTCAAAAGTCACTAGAAAGTCCCCTTCCTGAGAGCTTATACCCCTTGCCCATCTGAGCATCCCAGATGAGAAAACCCATCTGCCCAAGGGAGGGGGGTGCTGGTCCAAGAATGGGGTCTGGATGGCCAGACAGCTGGGTAGAGTGGCAAACAGAGGTTAGGCTGTAGCACTGTATAACCAGATCTTTTGGACCTGGGCATGTATCTGGGACCTGGGGAGGACCCTCTCCCACTTCCTCCCCAACAGTCATGCTTCAGCCTATGGCAACACTCACTTCTCTGTCACATATAGAACCCCGTTCCTGATGTAGTCCGTGGGCATCTTCCGGTCTCGGTTTATGAGGCAGCAACGCCAACCATTCTCACACACTGATGGAGAAAATGGACCTGGAATTTCCTTCCTCTGGAATACCTGGGCCTTGACCTCTGTCGGTGCCTGTGAGCACCGACTTATGCACCGACTTATTAAAGATGCACCCACATCCACAAGGACCATCAGAAACAGTCCAAGTGTGGGATGATGGGGTCATAGTGCTCACCCTGCACGGGGCCGCCCTAGGTTCCATCCCAACACTGAATACCACAGAGTCTACAGTAGGGGAAGGGAGGCCTGACAGGAGTGAAATCACCTAGTGTCTGGGGGAATAGCTTCCTCTCACAGTAACCAATCAAGCTGCAGCCCTCACTGCCTTAGGCAGCTTTCCACATATCAGGCCAATAGTGCAGAAGGAGACTCTCAAGAAAGGGGGCCAAACTCCAGACCCTGCCTCTCAGGCACTTACTGAATACTTTTCCAGAAGGTTGCCTGTCTTGAGGTATCTGTGGCAGGTTGTACACTCAAATCAAAGTGCCAGAACATGCCTGGGCTAGGGAACAGGCTTCAGGCTTGCACCTTGATGCTAATGATATAGGAATCCCCAGCAGGTGGGAAGGGCTGAGCCCCACTCCTTGGGGATTCCTGCTTTAAGAAGGCCTACCCGAATCTATGTGGATAATATAGGACAGGAAATATGATGTCATACCTCTTCCAGATTCCTGGAACAACCCAAGACCCTACTCATGTGTCGCTCTCCTGGGAAGTAAGTCTGGGCCTTTTCCACACGGGTCCCTTCAGCCTGTCCTTGAGGCGAGGTCTTGCCTCCTGCCTGGGCTCAGACCCTGCCCCATCCACTTCCATCTACTCCGTGACTGGCTGGGTCATGAACTCAAAACACACTCACCTGCTAGTGGGCGCTCATTTTCAGTCAAGTTAAAGATCTCATGGAAATTGCCCTTCTTGGTGCTGTGAAATCGGCCAGCATCTTCATCCTTACTCAGACCGGTTGGAGCACTGGAGACGTAGCTCCGTGATGAGGTTGTCTGCAGCTGCCAATAACACACAGTCCTGATCAGGCTCTGGAGAGAAAAAGCTGGACCCGCTGCTGGTATTGGTACACACTAGTTTCCCTGCCCATAAACTGACAGGCTCTATCCCTTCAGGAAAACGTGAGGTGCAGCCCCAATAGACCCCTTTCAGTGCTGGCCCTGAAATTCCACTTGCTACCTGGGTTAAATGGGGTGGGGGTGGTATTTTCCCCCAGAGATGCTCACAGTCTTCCCAGGCCCACAGTGCTAGATCTAAGCCTGGGCCCCAGCACACAAAATGCAAGGACACAGTTGCCTAGCATGGGTTCTGCACTAAGTCAGTTGAAACTGACATTTCGGAAGTCAGTTGGCCACACAACCAGAAAATCAGTCACAACACAGCAATGACACAGCATCAGCTCACAGCAGGCCCAAGGGGGCTTCCACACGGACACAATACCTTGTCATGCCCTGACAGCTGGCCAGGAAGGAGACAACAGACAGACATGTGACCATCACAAAAGAAAAAAAAGGGGAGGTACATGTGATGTGAAGTTGTAAAGCAAAGTTGAAGAAGCAAAAAGAGCTGAACACAACTCAACACAGAAACATGGGGCCTGCGGGATACAATGAACCAAGAGGGGGTCAGGGTGGCTTCCCCCAGGATGCACCAGCCATATCCTAGCTAATGCTACATGGTCTTAAGCCCTAGGAAGTCCCTGTCCCAGAGGCCTCAAATTGTCCTAAAGGCCAAGCTGTGACCTAGGGTGACCTCTGTCTGTAGGAAAAGAGTCATCTCCAAGCCTGGCTGCTCTGGCCTATGGCTGATCTCAGGTTCCCAACAATCTTTGCTGTCCTGGACCTCACAGTGTGACCTTCCCAACTCAAATCAGTGCTTCAGTCCCATAAAAAACTGAGGGGCACAGGGGCACTCCCTCCTGAGGGAGCACTCACATAGAGACTCTAATGTAACTTTTTACACATTCCTGGGAACTGCAGGGCCTGAGCGCCCCACCCGCCTAAGACCCCGAGAACACACTGGACTACTCCTCCTAGGGCTGGCTGGCCCTGACATGAAGGAGGTGCTGACAGGGGAAAATCCCACGGTGCTTTCCACCGTCTATATCAAAGGCTGGTAAGATCTGGAAAACACCAGGCTTCAAGTGAGCAGAAGATGCAGAGCCAGAGGTCAGGGTCCATCAGCTTCATAGTTCTGTTAGCACCTTCCTCAAGGTAGTGGCAGTTGGGGGACTCACCCTGCGTGACACGGTGGCACCAGCACGCTCCTTGAGCTGGGGGTCAGTAGGGAGGTTCTTCCAGATGATATAGGGTGTGTCATACTTGGCTCGAAGTCTCGGGCAGCGTTTGAAGATGAAGTCGATTAGGAAAAACTTAATGCCAGCATAAAGGCCTGAGGGGAAAGCAGGGATATATCCATGCAGACAAAGGGCAGGCATTCTGGCCCACTTCCCCCTCCTTGTGTGACATTTCCACTAACCATCTCCCAGGGCAGTAGTGTTTTTCCTTACCAACAGCAAGCCCCACCAGGCGGTAGGGGAAGAAGCAAGAAGCTAGGAAGGCGGCCCACAGAGCGACATACAGTTTCTGTGTGATCTCAGGTTGCACCCACATGAACAAGCTGGAAGGAAGATGGAGGTCAGGTCGGGTGGTGTATACCACCCTCACTGTGGGGACAGCCACTTACTTCTTGATCTTTTCTAGAATGTCGGCCATCTTGCCAAAGAGATTCTGTGTGAAGAAGAAACTGCAGTGACCACAAGCCCGAGTACCTGTCAGTCACACCCAGAGCTCCAGGGAAATACACAGCCCATGCCTCCAGAACCCTGTAGTCTTGCCCCACCACTGCCAGGTCTGAGGTTGTCTGGTCTAAAACTAAGGCCACTGGAAGCAGACTATGCTGAGCCCCAACTTCTGTGGATGCTCAGCCCTAAATTCTAGGGTTGCTACACTCTGGTGGTGAAAGGCTTCATCCACATAAGGCCAGAGAGTCATCAGGAAGCCATGTTCCCTGCCATCTCACCAGAGTGAGAATGCTCATCTAGAACAGGCATGGAACTGCACGCTAACCTACAACAGACATGTGAGGGTTCTTCCCTTCCAGGGTGAAGGGTAAGTTCAGGGGTGGTACCTGCGCTTTCTGGGCAACATCCAGCACCAGCTGGAACTTCTCAGACACAGTCAGATCTTCCTTTGCAGGTTCCTTCAGTCAAAGGGGAGAGAGAATTTTCCACTGGAATTTAACAGTTCAGAAAAATTACTGACAAAACAGCAGGAATGCTCCCAGTCCCAGGGATCTGTGGGCCACTGTGGTCCCCGTACAGCCAGAGGACTAGGTGCAAAGACATCTGCTGGGCTCAGGGTGGGATCTCCCCTTGTGCTTGCCGCCTTGCCCCAGTACAGAGGGCTCCATAGGAGGGGCAGACAAAGTGGTGAGGCAGACCACAGCCCTAACTCACTCTCCTAGCTCACGCTAATGGTATGTCCCGTCAGAACTGCCCCCACCCACTCCTTGACAGGCTGGGTAACTGAGGACCAGGCCTATGTGAAGTTCACATGACTCTTTATTGTAGCAGTTCTCAACCTGTGGGTGGTGCCCCCTTTGGCGGAGTCAAGTGACCTTTTCACAGGGGTCACATGTCAGATATCTTCCACATCAGATATTTACATTACGATTCATAACAGGTGCAAAATCACAGTTATGAAGTTGCAATGAAAATAATTTTATGGTTGAGGTCACCACAGCATGAAGAACTGTGTTAAAGAGTCGTAGCATTAGAAAGGTTGAGAACCACTGCTCTATTGCTTCAAAAAGAGTCTCCTAAGGGTCTCCCAGTCCCAGGGCTGGGCAAGACATGTGCTTGCCTCCTTAGAGACCACCCCATTCCCTAGGTACTCCACAGACTGTCAGGTATGCTCAGAGGCATTGAGGCCTCCCTCTGCCCCACAGGCCCAACAGTCCCTTTATAGCAAACCTCTGTCAATAACCAGATTTGGGGGGCCATATGGCCTCTGTCACAGCTAGCCCCCTGTAGTATAAAAGTACTCATGGCCTTGCTAATAAGCAAGTGTGACTGAGTATCAAGCCAGGCAGGGTCCAGATAGAGGTTCCAGCACCCAGGCCAAAGACAGGACTATTGTGTGACATCCTTATCACCCCCCCCCAGCAGGAAGATATAGTAGCTCCCTTGTTACCCCCACATCAATTCCTGGCAGAAAATATCAGCCAGGACAGGTGGACAAGGCAATCTGCTTCTAGACAGTGAAGCTTGACACAGCTGAAGGTCTGAGAGGGTAGCCTCCTGGAACTTAGGGCTGGCATGTCTGGCCTTCTCTAAAAACAACCCTGCCAGGGCAGGAATGCTCATCTGGACTCCCTGTGATGTGGCCCCAGGCTGTGGGCCCTGACTAATTAACACAGAGGGACAATTTGCCACCAAGACTCACCACAGCTTCAGACACTTCTGGCACAATGCTCCATTGTATCCGCCAGCCCCTGAAAAAGAAGCCACCAAAACTATGAAAGCAGTGTCACCTTTGGGGGACAAAAATTGAGCCTCCAACTGAGTTGCCAGCTACAGTCGGGGCTTTCTGACCCTTCAAGGCTGGCCACTGAGACTTCTAAAGCTTGGTTGCTTGCCTGAGACCATGCTCATCCATGCTCATTTCCCCTCTACTGGGGCATAAGCAATAGCATACATTGTGGGTAGGAAGAAGCCCAACAATGTAGCCACAGTGTAGCCACAGTGCTTATTTGAGCTCATTGTGACCTCTGATTGGTCTGTTAATAAAGTTTTATTAACACCAGCAATGCCTCTTAGTGGATCAATGGTAAGTAGGGGCTGTGGACTAATAAGATCTTATGAAAGCTTCAAAGGCATCTCAGTGCTTCCTACAAACATCATTCTCAAATTCCTGTGACAGGCATAGAAGGGATGGAGTAGACTGGCATGTGGACTTGTAATCTTTTGAGGGGGCTAAGAGGAAATTTGGAGTTAAGAGCTCTTCCACAAGCCAAAGCAAAAAGCTAAGGTTTACTCCTAGGAACAATCCTGGAGTTCAGGCAAGGGTTTACCCCAGATGTGGCTTCCCCAGAAAGGGGAGTGTTCAGTGAGGACACAGAATAATGGGGGAAAGGGCCTCAGCCTTAGTGGAGTGATGTGTCCGTCTTGCAGGTGTGGGTGTGTGCACTGCTTAGCTGTGAATTCCAACTTTGCCTGCTCAGCATTTCCTTCAGGATGTTCATGGGAACAGGGCCCTGCAGCTTCACTCATCCATCCCGGGGTTGGGGAGAACTTCCTGCCAAGCACATGCACCTCAGGGAGGGAAGGAGTTAGGGTGATACTGCAGCTCAGCCACCCACTGCCTGCTCCCTAAAGTCTCCAGGGCCTCTCAGGGGACCACCCACAAACAACAGTACATGACATATCTTGTGTTACAATGGGGTGGGAAGCAGACACACAGTGAAGCCATGTGCAACATGGCCACACAACAACCCTGCTCACCTACCTGGCGATGAGGTAATTGAGGGACAACCTCAAAATTGCTAGGAACAGGAACATGGGGATGGCCCAGCCATGCCACACAGCATTCATGTACACCTGAGGATGAAGGTGAGAGACATGGGTAGGCAGGCCAAACACTGGTCTGGTACAAGATGCATTCTGTCTGCTCCCTCCCAACAATAATGTGCCCCTTTGTCAGGGAGACCAGTCCCAGCTCTCCAAATGTCCAGATTGTTGAACAAGGGCATGTGGGATGCAGGCAGTCAGGAAGGCTGTTTCCAGCTGAAGAGAGAGGCCTACTCAGGCAGGCAGTGGACAAGGAGGCTGCCCTGTGTGAGTAGGGATCAGAAGAAGGTGGCTGGACCCCATGAAGATGTCTCTCCTGTCCCCAGTGTGGGTTCTGCCAGCTGATGAGGTGGGCTCATCACTGCTGAGGACTGCAGGTGAGCTGCCATGGGGGTCCACATGGAGCCCAAGGCCCTGAGTGATATTCAGACAGGCCAGGCCAGACAGCCTTAGGGAGACAGCATGTGGACCTCGGGTATGAAAACCTTACAGAGCATTTGTGCTGGAGCAGGGGAAGGGGACCTCAGGCTCCAAATGGGGTGGGGCCCTCTCTCAGAGCTTTAGCTGTGAGTGAGCAAAAGGCCTGTCTCTTTGCCAGGCAGTGAGCCCCTGGGAGGGAACCAGAGGGCCTGCCCCAGGGTTAGGGCTGTCTTAGGAACCTCCTAGGGTAAGACTAACTGGGCAAGCCCTGCAGATGGGCCTCCTCGGAAGGAGGGCACTATCTATGAATTGTCTGGAAGGTGCCCAGACTGGGACCTCCTTCTGGCAGGTGGGCGGGTGCAGCCTTCGGACACCATGCATTGTCAGGAGCCTCCCTGGTCCCGCCACTGGAGTCCATGTAGCCAAGCTCCAGGCCACAACCAGTCTTGAGGATACTGCTGTGAGGTACATGCCATGCAGAGACAACAGTCATTATGTCTTCAGGGGTCTGTGATCTGAGACTGTGACCACTACACACACCCATATTGCTGATGGAGAAACTGAGGCCGAGTACATCCAGAGTCCAAGGGACAGTTTTGCTTTCGGGCTGCCCTCTGGAGGCCTCACAAGGAAGCCTGGTACAGGCTGACCCTACCTAGCCTGTGAGAACACTCACGGTGAAGGCGATGGCAGAGGTGTAGATGGAGTACCAGTCGGATAAGGCAGACAGGTTCTTCACAAAGTTAGTGACTGGCTTGGCACCACGCTCTGGGGACAGAACAGACAGCAATGGTCAGCACAGTGCTGAGCTGCCTCTAACACACAAGCAGGGTCACATGCCTCCCCCTCCAGCTGGAAGTGAAACCAGCACACCAATGCAAGACCCAACACACTGAAGACCCCTGCTCTTAGTGTCCTCCCTGACCAATTAACCTTGGTTTCCACAGGGAGATGCCACCTGCCCCTAGCAAAGGCCTAAAGTCGTAGGTGAAAGGGAAAGGAAAGGAATGATGCTATTTGTACTCCATGGGGCCTGAGGGTTATCAGAGAAGTGAGCCATATTTCACCCTAGATCAGCAGTTCTCAACCTGTGACCCTTTGGGTGTAAAGGACCCTACACAGGGGTCACCTAATTCTATCAGAAAATGCAGATATTTACATTACGATTCTGTAGTCATACAGAATCGATTACAGTTACAAAGTAGCAACGAAAATAATTTTGTGGTTGGTTGGGGTCACCACAGCACGAGGAACTGTATTATAGGGTCGCAGAGCTAGGAAGGTTGAGAACTTTGAGAACTACTGCCTGAATGCTGAGCAGGCTCAGTTCTCTATCAGCCCCTGAATGTGGTATGTCTCAGGCACAAGTCCACTACAGGCTTTCATCACAGGGAGGACAAGGGAGGAGTTGTCCTTAAATATTTTTCTGGAGACTTCTGTTCAGCTCCCCCTCCCCCCTCTCCCATACCAAGCCCCGCAGTACTTACTCAATCGTCTCATGTTTTCAGTTAGCCTGAGAGAGGGAGAGATAAGGTTCAGGGTGAAGTTACCAGCATGCCCAGGATGTCCCACTGTGCAAGCATCACTAGTACACGGGCAACAAGGGGGACGTCCAAGTGCCTGGGACCCTCAGGTGCCTGGAGACGCATGCACAGTGACACAGAGCACAATGCTGAGTGTTCCTGCTGCTGGTTGCTAGGTTATAAAGGTGGGGGTGACACGGCAATAGACCAGTTCTCCCATCTGTCACATCTACCTCAAGGGCACCTTGATGGTCTGGCTCTCCAGAGCCCCAGGGTCTATGAGAGTATCTGGTAAGGGCAGCCACTGCAGACTGACCAGATCCATGACCCAGCAAGTGATCTGCCCCCTATGGTGGACACTGGACACACAACTCTCACATGACTTTTTTTTCCTCTTTGTTTTTTTTTTCAAGACATGGTTTCTCTGCATAGTCTTGGCTGTCCTAGAACTCACTCTGTAGACCAGGCTAGCCTCAAACTCAGAGATCCACCTGCCTCTGCCTCCCAGAACTAAAGGCATGCACTACGACCACCCGGCTTCAGGTGACTTTTGTCACAAACCACAAGTGAGTCAATGTGTATATGGTACAACTCTACTCTTCCTCAGACCCCTCCAAGGAGGTGCCCCAGAAACATGGGCACTGAGAGCTTGTGGGCAGCCACTTCAGAAGGATATCAATGCTGACCAGTCCACCACAGGGCCCTGGGCCTAGCACACAGCTCCTTGGGCACCCCTACCTGCGGGCACTGAGGGGCTCCTCCGTCTCCACCGTGTTCTCCTCTGGCTGGAAGCGGAAGTCCTCCACATACTCTCCAAACCTCTCATAGAACCACTTCTGTACACGGGCTGACAGCCCCTGGCTGCGACGGTCTGTGGGAAGGAGAAGAGATCAGAGAAGAGACTGCAGGCTCCACACAATCCCTTCTGAGGCTGGACCAGGGGTGTGGCCTCAGGATATAGGAAATGTTTAGAGTGAGGGTTGTACCATGGAGCAAGTTGAGAAGGGACTTAGCCAGAGAGGCCTTTGAGGGCTCAGCTTCCTGAAGATACTAGGTGCAAACCAAAAACTGCAGGCCAGGGCTGCCCCGGCCACATAGACCATCAAAAGCATGGTCTCCATCCCCATACTTGACCCCAGAAATCTCCAGATATCAATTTTCCAGCAGCCTTGAGCTTATGTCCAGGCCATGTCAGACCATGGTGGCAGTCTGTACCACCCATCTACCTCTGGTTTGTCTGGGAAGTGGCTAAGTGGGCTCACCATGTCAGGTCTCAAGGACCATCCAGTGTGTGCACTGGGTACAGGGCCCAGAGATAAAGCTCACAGTGATTGGTTGTGTCTCACTCACTTTCATTATGGACAGCTGAGACCAGAGATGGCAACCCAAGTGGGAGAATGCCAGGGGGAAAGCTGCCTGGCCTGAGCCCAGTGATGATCCCTGACCGCACCCTAAAGAAAACAAGATGTGGATACCAGACATGGTGGCGCACACTTTTAGTCCCAGCACTTGGGAGACAGAGGCCTATATGAGTTTGAGGCTAGCCTGGTCTACAAAGCAAGTTCTAAGACAGTCAGAGCTGCACAGAGAGATACTGTCTCAAAAAATTTAATTAACTAAACAAACAAAAGAACACAAGATGCGGAGTTACCTGCACTGGACGCTGCCCCAGCATAATTAAGAGAATGGAAATGTCAGGCACATGGTCACCAGACATCTATGGTGCCACCAATGTCATGTGTCAATTACAACTTTAAGAAAACATACCAAGTGTGTTGTGGGCCCAGGATGAGTGGGCAACAGTCAACATAAACACAAGGTCACTCCACTTGGACAGAAGGAGAAGGACACAGACCAACAGGGACTGAAGTGTGTGGCTCCTGGGGCTACCGAGGCAGGGGGACCCTTTAGGCTCTATTATTCTCCACCAGGTTTTTGGGTGGATCTAGGTGAGCAGGTAAGCTTGTCTAATGGCCAGGCAAAAGACTGGCCAGCTCGTGGTTCTGTTTATGGACACTGAACTCACAGAAGTTTCACTCAATGAGAAATACTCTTTCTTCTAATTTTTTCTTCTTCAACCATTTAGAGACATAAAAAGTGATTTAAACATGTAAATTCATGCTGGGCATGGTGCTGAAAATCTACAATCCCAGCACTAGGGAGGCTAAAGCAAAAGGGTCAGCCTGGGCTACATAGAGAGACCTTGTCTCATGAAGCCAAAAATGTAAAAAAGAAAAAACATACAGTGTCTGTGATTTGTGGGACCAGATATAGGGAACATAACCACCTGCCTGAAGGGGGCAGTCTTGACCCAGTCCTGAAACCAACCCACCCATAGGAGAGCCTGAGGTCCCTGCTTGACTTCCATAACCAGTGGGGGATGCTTTCTCCCACACTCCTCAGGGCTAGTTCCTAGGAAGGGAAAGGCCTGAAGTGTTTCATTCAGACAGGTGTACACCTGAGGTTCAGGGATGGGCTGAGGCATGCACACACCGGATGGCTAGCATCCTTCATTTATCTTGGGTGTGGTGAAGCCAGGGAGTGGTCCCTCTCCCCTGCCACATCCTCCCTGTCTTAGAGGGTGAAAAAGGGCCACAGTGTAGACAGAGAAGGCACAGCTCCACACAGCCCAGCATACCTGGAGACCATGGAAATTAAGATTAGGTTTGGGAGGCTAGAGAGATGACTAGGTGGTTAAGAGCACCAGCTAATCTTCCAGAGGACCCAGGTTCAATTCCCAGCACCCACACAGCAGCTCACAACTGTCCTAAGAGATCCAATGCCTCTTCTAGCCTCCTTGGGCACCAGGCACTCATGCAGTACATAGACATACATGCAGGCAAAACACTCATACGCATAAAATAAAAATATTTCTTTTTTAAAAATAGGAAGAAAACAACAACAACAAATACCAGCAGCTAGGCCTGACCTTGACAAGAGGACAAGGGATCCCTGGCCTTGTGATGAACCAAGGAGCTGGGGATCTTTTGACCCCACACTTCTCAATACTCACTATCAACAAGTACTAAGGGTCTCTTGTACTGCTCCTGACTCAGTAACCAAGATTCACAAGCTAAGGGCTCCGCATCTAAGTCTGGGAACTGGCCAGAAATACTCCAGATGGCCCAAGGAGGTCATGTCCCAGGGGATGCAACTGCCAAACCTGCACTGGGGCCAGCTGCCAGTGGGTGCAGTGAGGATGGATCTGGGAGAGCCTTAGGAGCGGCCTCATCTCTTGGGCTGCAAAGCCAATGACCTAAGCCATGGTTTATGCCAGGCTTACTGGCACAGAGAGGGAGAGCCTTGTGAATGGTGAGCATGTGGAAGGGACGCTGTCTGTGAGGATTCATTCAGGGTCCACAGGAACTGCAGAGAGAATGGAGTTCCTGGCTCCTCTGAAGTATGTCGTCGCAAGATGGATGTGGCCATTAAGGCAGGAAGCAAGGGGAGGAGAAAAGGCTTGCTCCCTGCCTGGGAGATTAGGGCATTCCTTGCCATAGCCTGCCACAGTCCACTCAATCCCCACATAGGATGACCAGTTACAGGGAACAAGTCATCAAGTCACTGTAGTGAAACCAGTGTGCCTTTTGGTACCTTTCGGGAGGTCAGGCCAGATTAGACAACACATCAGATTTGTGCAAGGAAATGAGATCACCTTTGGAGTGTCTCAAGCATGTGTGATGACTCACAAGCCCACAGTGAGAGGCGCTAACCCCGATTTGAAGGCAGGAGAGGGCCACATGGGAGAGGCCTGGCTGGGGAGATAACCATCCCTTTCCAGGGGCCTACCTGTGCCAGTGCCATTGCTGGTGTGGCTCTGTCCCTTTGGCGGCTGCTGAGGCTGTGCCGGCTGCTCCTCTGACCTTAAACATGAGAAAGGCAAAGCTTAGGAGTGCAAACACCTACAGCAGCACCACATGGAACTGAACTTCAGTGACAGGTGGGATCTGCCGCCCCTGAAGCCCCCATGAAGGCTGCAGTGCTACTGAGGACAGAGTCTAGTAAGTGCAAAGGTGCTTCCTCCATGTTCTAGCTTCAATGGGCAAGCAGTGCCTCATAAGCAAAAGGTTCACCTTTCCTGCTAATTTTAACATAGTTGCTTATTTCATCCTTAAGCTCAGGGATAAAAAAAAGATCACTACTGAGAATACCACACACCTCTTTATTCAGCACCATATGAGGCCACAGCTGGATGATATCCCAACATCCCTGAGCTGGCTTCCAGTTAGGCCATGCCAGACATCTTCCTGGCTTCTTGCTCCCAGCTCAGCATGAGATCATGAGATCATCACAGTCTTTATTATGGTTCTGCCTTCACCTTTAGTCTTATCTGGCTACCTGTCTGATCCTGATCATCACATATATTCAACTGCACACTCTGAGGGAGCTATACTACAGCAGCAGTCTGGGTCATACCCTTTGGGTAGCATCTCTATCCCGTTTCTCTGGCCAGCTATGCCCTCCTCTGGAGTTTCAGGATATCTGCCATCTTACCCTGCACTGGCTTGGACCACAAGCACACACTAGTTGTTCCTGCAGCCAATAGTTCCTAGGCTCTATACTGCAGCTCCTGCAGCTTCAGGGTGCAATGTAAGTACACATACGTGTTTCCATGGGGTATGTGAGCTATACATGTACATGTGTTGTGTGGTATATGGATGTGTGAACTGCATGTCCCTACACAGCCCTTCTCCACGCCCTGCCCCAAGTTCACTAACATGATCAGGAATGAGGAAGCCTCTACCTGGAAATGTCTCTCCCTCCAACCCCTCCACTTTCAGGCTTCCAGGAAGTTCCCAAACCCGACCCTTTGTTCAACTCCTACTTCTTGGGTCACAATCTGGATGTTTCTTTCTCATCCACATCTGAGTTGCATACTCAGAACTGACTCAGGGCCCTGCAAGCTCACCCAGCAAGGAAGAAAGGTGAGAGACAAGGGCTAGATCCTTAGAGTAGGGGTGGGATTAGGTGACAGATAGAGGGCATCAGAAGCTAAGGCTGACGGACGGTAGCAGGGACAGGGTCAGCCTTTCCTGCTTCATGCTCCTGCTAGGACTACCAGGGGGGAGACTAGCCTTCATGGAAAGCTGGGGAGGCAGCATGGAAAAGGCATTCTATGTAGAACGGAAAACCATTTAACTTCTGAATCTCTAAGGTCAGAGTTCAACCCAGGAAAATTCTAGCTGAGGCCTCTGGTGTGGGGGGATCATTGGTCTTGCAGCCAGGGCTAAAAGGCCAGTCACATCCTCATCCTCAAACAGACCTCCCATAGAGTACCCTACCCTGGAAAACTCTATACAGGCCATAGTGATCTGGGCAAGGGAACAGGGTGACCTGACTAACAGCTACCACAAAGCACATGAACTGTCACCAGGAATATCAAGGATAGGGAACAGGCAGCTTCACTTCCTAAGACCTGGGCTTCTTAGAGCTGCTATTGTGGACTAAGACCTGGGAGGAAGTGGATATGATCACAGGAACCTGGCACTGAGCACTATGACCAGCGTGGCTCAAACTCGGGGGGGGGGGGGGGATCCTAACAAGGAAGACACTTGGTCCCCATGCATAAGCACGGTCCAGTTGGGGTATTCCAGAGGCATCAGTGTGTGCCCCAAACTGCTGGGAGTCATTCACTATGGCCTAGCAGAGACAGGGGTTGAGAGGATAGTGGGTGGATGTCAAGTTGGGAAAGCTGGGGTCCTGGGCCCCTAGCCTTATCTTCCAGGTGACACTATGGCTGTTGTGCAGAGGGACCCAGAGTCTAAAATTTGGTCTTGTTGCCTGTGTGATGCTCTGCACTGACACACCTCCTGCCAGAGACAGCCGAAGCAGAGGCCACACCATGAGGGTGGTCAGTGGAATGAATGAGTCAGGTATTGTGGATGTTCAGGGAACTAAGTGCTTAGAGTACTTATCCAAGGAAAAGCGGTCACTTGCAAACATAACTTGCAGAAGCTGAGGTGGCAATGTTACTCACTGGGTAAAGTCTGTGAAGATGAGGGTGTGAGCTGGGTGGGCAACTCTACAAAGGCTGTACACAGTGAAAGTTCTGGGGGAGGGTAAGTCTGATTAGGCCAGCAACACAACTCACTTTGCTCCCCTTCTGGGACCAAGAACAAGATTGGCCTAGTTCCCACCTCTCCTAGCCCAAGGCCACATCAGGGATCCAAGCTGAGGGTTCAGGAAACCCTGCCCACTGAGGAGGGGTGAATGCTGTGGTTTAAATTGTGGCTTCTCTTTCAAGGGTTCATGAAACTTCATTCTTGATGTGACGGTAGAGAGGTTTGAGGACCTTTCAAAGATTGAGCTTGGTAGAAGGTTCTCAGGTCCTAGAAGCAGCCCTGGGAAGGAATTAATGTAGTTCTCTGAACTAAAGGTCACCAAAGGATCATTAAATGTGGTTGACCCTATCTGGCCTCCAGCAGGATGGATGTAATCTCTCTCCTATACACTCTCCCACCATGCACCATGAGTCCCCACCAGGGGTGAACCACTGTCAGCACGGTGTTCTTCAAACTCTGGAACTATGAACTAAACACACCTCTCTCTTATAAGTACCATCATTACAGTAATAAGAAAAGATGAATGAAGCTGTCACCTGGCCTTCAGCACCTCTTGCATTTTCTGTTCCAGTTCGATCCGGCGCTGCCGCTCCCGATCAAGCTCCTGCCGCAGCATCTCTGAGTTGGTCTCTTCCCGAAGCTTCCGGAGCTCCTCCTCTGTGGAGAGAAGAGCCAGGTGATGAGCACTCAGGTCCACTGCCCCCTCTGACAGCACTGCCCAACTTGAGAACAGCAGATGGGTTTGTGCTCTGTATGGGACTGGGGCACTTGAACTTTCTCAAGTTTGCCAAGTGCTCAGTTGGCAAGTGCACTCTGGTCCCATTCTGCTGTCTGCAGGGATGTTAGCAGCTCTATGACCTCTCCTTTGGGGTATGCGTGTTGGGGGGGGGGCTCTAAACTGAGATTTCTTTTACACAACTGGGGACAAAACAGGTCCAAGCATGGACAAGGACTTTTGCTATGCTCAATAACGGTACAAAGGAGAACTGCAAGCCATTTATCTTATCCAAGCCATCATCACACAGGATACCCTGGGGCATACACCACATGTGACTAGGTCAACATGACTGTGACAGAAAGGCAAAGGCTAAAGACTCCAGGAGGTACCAGCAGCAGAAGAGAGACAAGTCAGCTTCAAGCCATGTCACTGCAGAGGAGCCTGGGGGTAGGAAGAGGTATGGGAAGGGGGTGGGGTAAGGACCCTCATGAAGGTCAGATCAGAGTCAAGCCTTGCATGAAACTGAGGAGCCAGACTGCAGATGGCTGGGGGAGGGAGGTTAGGCAAGAAACCTGGCAGCTCAGAGAGTAGAGGAAGCCAGGAGCTGAGGAGGGTAGTGGCCTCAAACCGCTGAGATCAAAACATGGTCAGAGTCACTGCAGAATTGCCCTTTGTTCTGAGTACGTGAGAACTCATTCACATCACAGACCCACAACTGTGCATGAAAAGAGGGGTCCTAGTTAGCACCCCTTTATCTCTCTTCTCACTCAGCTTAATGCAGCCAGGATTCTGGTGGTGAAGGGCCATCATCCTCAACACGCTATTTTTTATGTGCTCAGTTCCCCCAAGGTCCCCGCAGACAAGGCTGAGCCAGGAGGAAGTCTTGAGTGACAGCCTTCAGCCCTGCTCTGGGCAGTCTTGAATCCTAGCAGAAAGATAGACAGGAACATAAACAGTCCTCTAGGAGCAGTGAGGGTAGGGCTCAGGTAGAGAAGGACAGAGGTTCCTCAACCTGCTGACCCTGTCCCACAGGGCAAAGATGGAATGGAATCAGGAGCAGAGTCCTAAAGTGTGTTCACTAGGCACCCTCTGCACTCCATGACCTGTCACACGTGTAGGGAGGTATTTACACACTCTCTCTTGACTTTGACCCTGCGGGATAATACCTTAGGGAAGGAAGGCTGTGACACTCCTCACGATTCTGGATGAAGTTTGCCAGAGACCACATAGGAGAAGCATGCCACACAGCAAGCATGCCCCGCACCACAAGAACATGTCTGTCTCCATGCTCTTAGTCACATGTCTATGTCCATATTCATTCACAGGCTTCTCCTACTCCACTCCACCATTCCAGGAGGTTCCAGAGGAAAGACTCTACTCTTACTGTCTTCAGCCGCAAGGCCCAAGCCAGCTCAAGATGTCAAGGACACAGTAAAAGGATGATAGGTGGGGACACTCAGTGAAAACTTAGCAACAGGTAATTGGATTACAGGGACACATACTCTGGACTGGCCAGGCCCTAGAAGAGGACAGTGATAATACATGAGGGATGATATGAATTCCACAAGGGCCAAGGCCCTGATCACTCAAAGGGCACATTATACAGCACTGCCAGGGCCCTAGACATCAAGCATGCTGACCCTGGTCTTGTACTGGAATTATAGGGACACTGATCTAGGGGAATCAGGGTGCTAAGAATCTTGTCCATGACACTTGTTGCGCACAGAGGTAACTGAAGCCCCTGGACTTTTGGGGACCTCAGCCTATGAGTCCCAGAATTCACAGGGCATCCTACCCATCCCATTGCTAATCTTAGCTATGAGGTAAAACTACCTCAATTCCCCCTTGTCTCTTGGTGCATCTGTGAGGGCCTAGTTACACACAGCTTCAGTGTTAGATGCTAAGTTTCTATACCTTAGCCTCTGTCAAAATCCCAGGGGCACTACTTAGGAAGAATATGCTGCCCAGAGAACATGTAGTGAGATAGTCCGTCTGTGGCACTGACCACGCCCATTGGGGGTGGAGCCATGGGCGGAGTGACCTGGGGAAGGAGGTCGGAGGGGAGCGAGGAAAGGCTCTTTTGCTGGCGTGACACGGATTGGAGAGGATCGGGTTGAATTTCCTGGTGTTCATCTGTCTAGGTTGTACGTTATTTCTCCCTGAATAAACATCTATCCGGCCTATTTGTTTATCCTGATTCTTATTTAACCGCGATAAGAACAGGCATCTGGGTAAGATCTGGGAAGCAGCCTCAGACATATAAATAGGCCCCTTGGGTAAGCCTAGATACTAGTCCTTGCCTGGCTTGATCCCCTAGCAAGCAGAGCCTTGCCTATAATTTGAGGGGTGACCATTTTAGCCTAGGCCCTTCCCTGAGAGGGTCACAGAGATGGATGAAAGTTAAGAAAGCCTGGGCTTCTTTACAACATAGAGATTATATGATCACTGGAGATGGACAGGCCAGGAGACTCCCTCTACAGGACCTACTGGCCTGTCCTGCAGCCTGGGATAGATACAGGGGCCTCTAAGGGGCTCACTGAATGAGCAGGTAGATCAACCATATGCTAGCCTCCACTAAGGTGGACCAATGAGCTTTCCTCCTGAAGGTAGAAATCTACCTGGCTCAGCCAACTCAGGGCAGGCAATCAGGCATGTACTCAAGGCAACTTCACGTGGCCAGGTGTGGAAATAAATCTTTTTAAATAAGAGGATACGGATGGTAGGGATGCTGGGGAGATGTCCCAGCAGTTAAGAGTGCTTACTGCTCTTGCACAGGACACAGGTTCTGTTCCCAGCATCCACATCAGAGAGCCCACAACCACCTGTAATTCCAGCTCCAGGGAATATAATTCCCTCTAACCTCTAGGCACCAGCACTCATGTGGTGTACATACACTCACACAGGCACACACATATGTCCTAGTTAGGGTTTCTATTGCTATGATGAAGCACTGTAGCCAAAAGCAAATCGAAGAGAAAAGGGTTTATATGGCTTATACTTCTACATCATAGTCCATCACTGAAGGAAGACAGGACAAGGAGTCCAACAGGGCAAAAACCTGGAGACAGGAGCTGATACAGAAGCCATGGAGGGGTGTTGCTTATTGGCTTGCTCCTCATGGTTTTCTCAGCCTGCTTTCTTATAGAATCCAGGACCAACAGCCCAAGGATGGCCCCGCTCACCTTGGGCTAGGCCCTCCCTCATTAATAGCTAATTAATAAATGCCTTCAGGAGATATTATGGAGGCATTTTCTTAATTGAGGTTCCATCCTAGAAGATGATTTTAGCTTGTGTCAAGTTGATGTAGAACTATCCAGCACATGTACATATAAAAATAACAAATGAATCTTTGAAAAAAATCAATTAAGAGAACCAGATGTGTGAGCAGACTCAGCCTAGAGCATCCCTACCTCCCATATCTGTTTCTGTACAGACGATGCTTCTAGCACAGGATAAACCGGGCTGGGAAATCTTATATCATTGCTGTGGGGTGGGGTAGACTGAGGGAGGAGGGCTGAGGCTGGGGGGCCTGATACTTTCCCACTAGGTCACCTGAGCACCACCCCCACCATCCCATGGCTTCTTAGATCCCAGCCCAAGTAAAGATCAAAGCAATTCTCTCTCTCTCTCTCTCTCTCTCTCTCTCTCTCTCTCTCTCTCTCTCTCTCTCTCTCTCCACTGTATGATGCTCAGCCAGGAACAGGAAATTAGGCTTTCCTTAATTGGCCTCCCCTGAATGTCTGTGTCTTCCTGGTGTCACTAAATCACAAAGGCTCATCACTATATTCCACTCATGGCAGATGATTAGCATTGCTGAGACAGATGCGGGCACTTTCTGAGACCCCTTCCCAAGGTGAGGGGGTGCACAGAACGTTCTTGCCAGTGTGGAAGGGCATGTGTGCAGCCCCCTTAAAGGAGCTGAGGACTTCTTAGTGCATCCCTGACAAATACCTCTTGCCCCCCAGGACATCAAGGGTGGGAAGCTCAGCCCTGCAATAGTACAACTGCTTCTTCTGTGCTGGGCTCTCCATGTCACCTGCCCTCCCCAGCCATTACAGGCTCTGCTGCAGGAGCAGGTCCACTGCAGCCCTTTCCAATTTAGCAAGTCAAGTCTGTCTGTTCCCAACAGAGCTCCGGAGGCTTTGCACTTTTTCCTGATGGTGCAGAGAGCTAAGCATGTAGAACCAGCTGGATTTCTGAGCCTTTCTTTCCATAAACTCAGCTAATGGCTCCCTGCAAAGCCCTCTCTCTGCAACTTAAATGATGAGGCCCGATGTCTGGGTAATGTGGGCCAGCTTCCACCCTACCGTGACACATTTAGGTCAGATGCAGTGCTGGCCAGGCCCATCGTTCCACAGGACAAAAGCAATACAAACCCAGTCATCGGTTTTTCCTGCTCCTCCTAGAGGAGGAGCAGGGGGAAGGCTGATTGCCTGCCAAGCAGAAAGCGCTGAGCTGGCTGCTTGTAAGGCCATCTTCGCCCAACCTCCCCATGGAGTGGAGTCTCTTAGGACCATAAGGGCCATGGCAGCCAGTTTCTATCCTCAGGCCTTGGAATTCTGATTGTGGCCTGTTAGCGGTCACAACTTTCTTTGGATGCCCAGCAATGTAAGCCTGTCACTGCCATGACTCTGGGGTTCCTTCAGACTCTAAGATAACCTCCACTATTCAGAGGCTAGACCCACCCATGGCAGTCCATGGAGATATGTGCCCCCTGACCCCTTAGTCAGGAGGTGAAGGTCTCCACAGAGTGAGGGATAGGATGATATCTAAGCATTTGTTTCCTATGGCTGCTAATATCACATTCTGACTTAGTACCACAGCCACTATCTTACAGTTTTAAAGGCCAAGAGATCAAACAGGTGTTCTGGGTGAGAGCAGAAGTGTCAATGTCCCAGTTTATCCGGAGGCTGGTGCAAAGATTGGGCATATTTTCCTT